TTAACTTTTTTTGTTTCATTTTTTTTAAGTTATGCACGTACACTTATGGCCATTAAGGCTATGTTTGGCTGACACAAACATTTCCTTAAAGGTAATAATTTTAAAATTTTGATTTTTTAACCTTTTTTTAAAAAAACTTTAAAAAATTCATTTATCTTCTAAAAATACCCCAACTCCTACGCACTAATAGCTATTAGGAACAAGTTAAAAAATAAAAAATTATAATATTTTTTTGGAGAGTGAAAATTTAGAAAGCCTGATATAGCACCTGTTTCCGGAAAGCCAAAGCTACAGACGTGGCTCTGGAAATTGTTGATATAACTCTTAGAAAAATTGAAGTGATATTTTTAGAAAGCAAAAATTCTATAAGGCTGGTGCGGATACCCTAACGGTTACTTTGTATATGTTCTCTATATTAATTATAGTGATGCCCGCATATCATGCCACTAAAGCATGTTTTGGACTATGATGCAAAGCTGATGTAGCTTGGATTTTCCACAGCCCATTCCCGCCTCTATTTATTTATTTTTATTTTTTTTCTCTTTATTTTTTTTCATATGCTATTTACTTTTATTAGTTGGGTTAATTTCATTGACATACCTTCAAGTTTGACCAAATATTACCTTAAAATATCTTTTGAAAAATATTATCGCTCACACCCCAAATCACTTTTTCGTTACTAACACCGTTAACATGGGTATGAAATGACTTTTTTACCCTCATTTTTTAATGTCTTTTATTTTAAAACCTATAAGAACAAAATTACCCCCCTCACCCTCACTCAGTCACTCACACATCAACTCTTCTTAAGTATAGTAATCATCATATTATATATTGCCCCTGTCCTATATTAATATTTTATTATTCTTTTTTAGGTGTCTAAATTAATTTAACCATTTGAAGTTAAAACAAAAAATAAATTTTTTTTTATTTTTTATTTGGGTAAAGTACACTGACACCCCCTGAGGTTTGGGATAAGGACAGCCAGATGAAACTTAGCCTATTTTGGGACAAACACACCCCCTCAAGTTTGATATAATAACCAAAGACACCCCAATGGTAATGAGTTGACATTTCTGCCCTTTGACTTTTATATTGACCAAATTGAATGTTGAAATTACATTTTTAACCTCTATATATATATATATATATATATTTATCTCTCAATAATCTGTATATACACATATAATCAACGGAAAGAACCCGCCGACGTATGATTAGAGTCATCGGCAATTCCGGGAAAATTATTAAACAATTTGAATGCGAAATCAGAGCCAAAATTAGAGTCAAAGTTATGATAACCCGTTGCCTTGAGCGTGTAAACATCATCGGCTATCCAGCTATTTACAAGAAGATCACACAAGAAGAGGAGTGCTATGTATCACAATCTCAGGAGGCTCTGGTTAATGTTTTTGAGAGGGTTGCAGTGGTGGGACAGATTGGTGCGCTTATGGGGAGAAGAGGGACCATTGTGGATTGAATTTGGAGGAGTTATGGTGCCAAAATATAGCTTCTTTCAGCGGAGCAGTTTCAGACTTGTGTGTCTCCGACCGATGAGTTGATTCGGGATGAGAATTTGTGCCCAGTTTGTTCGGTGGTTGCTAAAATATGATCATAAGTAATATATATTAGAAAGTAAAGAGAATTTTCTATTTTTTCTTTAAACGAAATTTATCATATCCTTTTTTTTATTTTTTTTTATTTTTACACATTGAAACTAATAGTCAATAAAATTGTTTCCATCTTTAAAATTTCTCATTAACAAATATAATTTGTTATTTATTTTTTCTTTTTTAATTTTCTTTCTTTCCTTATTGGTATATATGTAAATCTTCTGGAATAATTCATTCTCGGATTACACCCAAAATGTGTGTGTATATATACGGAGTATATATATTATTGGTCTGGTCTCAATTATAAACCAATATATATCAACTTATTTTTTTGTCTATTGCAAAATTAAATTATAGAAGAAAGAATTTCAAACAAATAATGAAGAAAAACAGAGTTTTGCTTTATAATGGGTATTGATTTGATGCCCATATCATTCTTTATTAATAATGGTTCTGATTTCGCATTCAAATTGTTAAATAATTTTCCCGGAATTGCTGATGATTCTAATGGTTTTGAGTATACACATAATAATCTGAATTTGACGTTGGCTTCATGATGATGGGTTTTGAGCAGTTTCAGACTTGTGTGTCTCCGACCGACGGAGCAGTTTCAGACTTGTGGATTGAATTTGGAGAAGTTATGGTGCCAAAATATAGCTTGTACACATAATGGTTTTGACTCTAATCTGTATATACACATAATAATCTGTGGCCTGCTCCTCGCCGGCGTATGATTCTTGTACAGAGCTTCGACGAGTCCATGGCGGAGAGCTCCGCCGACGGCCGTGGCGGAGAGCTCCGCCGACGGCCGTGGCCCACTCCTCGCCTACGCATGATCTTCCACAGAGTTCCGGCTTTTCCATGGCAGAGAGCTCTGCCGACAGTCGTGGCCCGCTCCTCGCCGGTCAGTCTAGCTTCACCGCCGGTATATTCAATCCATGCTCTCCGTGAAGCCATCGCCGGGCAGTATTTTACCAGTTCAGTCCATGCTCTTCATTATGCATAAAAGGTTCCGGTGAAGGGAGCCGACAAGGTGCGGCTCAATCTTAATCCCACCAGTATAGGCTGGTTGGAAAGATGGGTTTTGATGATGTGAATATCAATCTCAATCCCACCCCAATCAAACCTCTGAATCAATTGAAAATTTTGCTCCTCCTCTCACCAACAACCCAGTTGTTCTTCTGATTTCATCAATTGGGTTTCGATTTGGGTACCAATTCAAGACCTCGATGCCCAACATATATCTCCTGATCAATAACGGGACCTCTGAACTAATTCAAGACCGAATGGTCGGGTGTGGCGTTTCGGCTTGTCGTCCTCGCTGTCGTCTTCTCCGCCGCAGGCAGTACTGCCCCGACCTCTCTGATTGCTTCTCCGCCTGCTCCCCCAACCTCCGACGCTCCTGCTTCGTCTCCCTCCGGTATTGCCGTGCCTAGATTGACGATCAGTGGATCTATTGTTGGTGCTAGTGGTCACTGTTGTGTGGGGGTATATATATATATATATATATATATAAGGGTAATTTGGTCCGTTAAGTATTTTAAAATTTTATAATTTAAATTAATAAAATAGAAAAGGGTAAAATAGACTTTTCACATGTTTTAAGGCCCTGTTTGGATGGCAAATTTAACAAGGGGGTGTGATTGTCCAAAAATAGCCAAACTTTCATCTGCTTGTCCTTACCCCAAACATCAGGGGGTGTCTGTGTACTTTACCCTTTTTATTTTTATAATTACAGTTTGAATTTTTTAAAAAATTCCAATTTGGTAACATGCACATTTAAATTTAAAGTCACAATGATATAATTTTAAAAGAAAACAATGTAATTAAAAAGTTATAATATTCAAAGAAGACAACTAATATGAGTACATCATAAATACCTGTGATGTGCTCATAAACTAATTAAGAATGCCCACAAAATCATTCTCAAAGTTGATATGCCATTATGTAGAATAAAAAACTTACAAAAAATAAATTTTTTATTTTGGTTTTAATAATTTTAACATAATATCAAAACAAAAAACCAAATGCGAAACTTATATTTCTTCTTCTTTTTTTTATTCTCAATTTCAAAAAATAATTTATTCAAAAAAAAAAAACTGTAATCAATCAAAATTATGAACTATATTTTGTTTTCCATTAACATGAGAATAGATAAACAACTTTAGAAAATTACCCTTCTACTTTAGTGATTTATATACATACAAACCTTTTATTGTACATCATAAATCTTGATTATTCTTTGCGTATCCAAACGAAGAACCAAAAAAAACCTCTTTTCATTGTCAGATATTTCAAAAGGCAATAGAAGAGCTTTCAATTGTTTTTCAAAAATATATATATATATATTTAACAAAAAAAAAAAAAAAAAAAACACGTTTTCTTCCGCTGTTAGTTGTTGGGTGTGATGGTGGTGGTGGCCGTTATGGGATGGGGATGGTATTGCCACTGCCGTGGTGGTGATGCGACGACTACCAGTTGCGACGGTGGTGGTGTAACGATATTACCTCATATATATATATATATATATATATATATAGTACATCAAATATATATACACACACTATATAATACTCACACATACACACACATATATCTCACGTCTCAACTATTATTTTTGGCACCATATAAAATGATTTAAATGCCCTTTGACTTTGTCAAAAAAAAAAAAACTTTAACCTAAATAAATAAATATATATATATATATATATATGAGATATATATATAATATTGTAAATTTGCAAAACAATTAGGGATAGTTTAGTCTTTTAGTATATTTCTTTAGGTTAAATTTTTTTTGACAAAGTCAAAGGGCATTTAAATCATTTTATATGGTGCCAGATGTCTAAAGATAACAGTTGGGATGTGAGTGAAAAATGGAACAAAATGTTTGCAACATGAGTGATAATAATTTTCGAAAGTTATTTCAAGCTTATATTTGGCAAAACCTGAGAGGGTGTCAATGAAATTAACCCTTATTAGTTGTTTCTTCATTATGGCATTACAACTTTTTTTCTTTATGGCTCCGTTTGGTTAGATGGAAATAGCAAGAAAGGAAAAGAAATGAAAAATGAAAATAAAATTGATTTTATAGTATGTATTTGGTTAGAATGAAAATTCTTCAAGAAAATATCAAATTATAGGTTGGACCCTTTATTTTATAAAATAATTAAATAATAAAAAATTAGTAATAAAATATATTAAAAAATAATAAAGTTTTCAATTAATTTAGACCTTTTGAATAACTATTTATCATGAAAAATAATTAAGAATGGGAGTCAAGTTAATTAAAAATTTATCAATAAAGTTGTCAACTCCAATTCTTTCATTGGTCCACATCACACTTAGGAGGAAGTTTCTCCTGATAAGAAAGGAGGCCCAATAAGGACACTACTCTTTATCCTAAACCGTTTTGAAATATTTAGTACAGTTCTAGATAGATTGTGGATCTAAATCGTGAGTTTACTAGGTATAGTTGGAAACAGAGAAGTTTTCCTATAAATTATCTTGTAGCATGACGGTCTTGAAGTTTGAAAGTCTAGGTCTTTCTTTATTTGCTTCCTGGGATTGTCGTAGATTCCTGTTCCTGGGATTTTTGAGGTAAGTTTGTGCCGCTTTCGTTTTTGCAGTTTATAAGAATATCTAACATGTCGATGATGTTTTTTCTTGGTCGTTCACGGTTGCTGTTTGGTTTAATAATCATATGGTAAAATAAACTTGCTATTTGATTTCTGTTTAGCACATTTATTTGTCTTCTTATATATATTAAGGTGGTGTTTATTTTTCTTCAATCTATACCTATGTGGCCTTCAGTTAGATTCATGGCTCTTATGACTCTTTGTCAATTCTGAATTTCATATGCTTTGATTGAATGAACTAATTTTTAGAAAACAAAGAGAAGAATAAACATGATGGAGGATGGGAACACTGGAGGGTAGGTCTGTCTTTGGGCTCAAAATCCATAAATGGCACTATTTTTTGCAGGAAAAGAAAAAAAAATTAAAACTTTTAGAGAAGGGAATTGAAAAAATTGATTAGTAAACAGTTGATTAGTGCTGTCAAACGAAATTTTGTGAACTTTGGTGGGATTTTTTAAGTGGTGAGTCTGAGTGTTTGTCACTTAATGGGAGAGCAATTTAAAATGCTTGTGATGTTGTACAAATTGAAAACAAGTGACTGGATTTTTAATGTACTAAGGAGGAATTTTGGTCGGACAATGTAGGAGGATGTTAAAGGATCTAACTGGCAGGAAATACCTATGGAAAGGAAAAGGTCTGTATATTTGATAGACCTTCAAATTCTGTAATTGATGTTTCTCGGTTTGTTCTTCTTGCATCGATATACAATGAAAAAGCTAACCATGCTGGGCCTTTTTCGCAGCTTTTCTTAATATAGGTCTCTCTTTTTCCAAAAAAGAAAAAAATTAGATTTTTTTTTTTTTACACAATATGCTTTCAACACTCAAATCCATTAGAAACTAAAAATTTTTAGAAGTGACTTGTTTTCGATATTGTATAATCTTTATGTTCAAAAATGCAAAACCAATACTAAATTGGCCCTTCATTCTTGACCATCCTTTTAGTTAGTCACCACTTGCAGGGAGATTTTTTGCACAATATAATTGTATCAGTTTTACAAATGCCTCGATCCATTTGTAATATTAGAGTGACAATTTTACTCAATGCCTTCACTTTGAAGAGGATAAATTCAATTGTCTCCCCCTCCCCTCCAACCTAACATGTGGCTACCCAAGCATTCCTACCATTACTGTATGCTATAAGTTTCCATGATAGTATATTATAAAAGAAAGTTGATAGAAAAGCATTCTTTCATGTGCTTAATTTTGCAGCTTCTATAACAAAGAAGAAAATTAATGAATTATTGTGGTTGATTATAATTACAAATTAATATTTAAAACTATTAATTTATTTTATTTTTACTCCTCTTTCCCATCCCAAATATGTGTAATATAGTAAGAATCCTTGTATAGGAAGTATTTATTGGTGACATATTTGCTCATGTACCAAAACAGGACATATTTGTCTTCAACATCTATTTCTTTGGGAAACCACTTGCAAGATGTCGCACTGAGATTGAAAAGCCTAGTTTTTGTTAAAAGTTTATATATTTTGAGAGTTGTTTTGCAGAGTTGTAGTAGTTGTTTTCACTGGGAAATTTCTTGCATCTTTGGGTAGCTTTAGGTTTCTAAGGAAACTTTGAAGTTAATTTTATAGTCTTCTTCACTTCCATTCGTTCTAATTTACGTTCAGAACTTCTGATTCATTAATTCATGATGTTCATCGATGATCATCAGTGTTATGGTGTACATGTGTTACCTTTTTTGCTATATTTCTATCAATTTTGGTTACTTCTCACATCTCATGGTATGTCAATGGGTACTTGAATTCATAATTCTTTTAATATGTAATAATACCTATTCCTGCCGGACTTTGTTTTCCTACATTAGAAAAGCAACTTAATGCTGTTGTGAATCAAGCGAAATCTGAGTTTTATCTTGAAAGAAATATGGAACAATAACATGTTTGACTGACAACCTTCTTGAATAAAATATATTGAATTAAGAGGTGGAATGATGTGTATTACTTAGGTGTATTGTGTTTCTTAATTTTTGTAAAGATAAACATATAAAAATCTAGGACTCTTGTGAAACTCAGGATATGGATAAAGAATGTCAGGCATTACACAATCCCGTAATTATTAGCTTACGTGCAATTTCCCTTGGATGACAACCAATTGTTAACCAAATGGAATACATCATATATACAAGTTTCATTCTGTTCAATTAATTGCCCCAAATGTAAAATTCGTTCCACTGTTATTTCACATGTAGTGTTCTCTTATTTCATTTATTTATGTTCTTTCAATTCTCCATCTCTTTACTTACAAAATGCCGAGTACGTTCTTTTCCTGTCTTGTCTGTATCTTTTTTAGGAGTCAAGTTTTATCACCAAATTAGAGATGGAAGGATTCAAGATAGTATTGCTCTTATTAGCAGCTTTTCTCTTTGCAATTCCATCTTCCTTTGGCATATCTGAACCATGTAAGATGGTTTGAAGGTGGTCTTCGTGCTGTTCTTCAATCTCCAGAATGTTCTGATTGGATTACCTTTAAACTTCCTTTTAAAAACCGGACTAGGAATTGCCAATTTTCATATATTCATGGACGATTTGATCACAAAGATGATGATCGGCTATCATGTAACCTTGATTTGCAGATCCTATTTCCTGGTAATCTGAGCCCTCTATCATTATCGTTGCTGTTATTTCATTATCTAGTACTTAATGCATTATGTAAATCACTGCAACAATTGAACTTCCCTTTATTGTATTTTATAGTCTGAGTTTACTTGACTAAATGTAAAGAAAGTTTATGTTAAGCGTAAATGTTGGTGCAGGTAAAAATGGGCATGAAGAGGTCAGGGTTGGTGTGGTTGCAGTATTTGATGGTCATAATGGTTATGAAGCTAGTGAGATGGCTTCTAAACTTTTATTGGATTATTTTTCAGTGCACTCTACATATATTGCTGATGAGGGAATGTTACAATTTGAGGAAGAACATGTCATGGTTGCTGAAGAACCTAACAAAGATGAAAAACCAGAGCAATATAATTCAATTCTTGTGAGGTCCGTCTTCTTTTCATTGTATCATGACTTTATCATGAAAATAAAAGACATGGGAAATTATTCTTTTCTGCTCCTCTTTGTGGACTTTAAGTGTGCTCACTATTTAGGGGTGGCAAAATTCAACATGACCGGTCAACAGGACACGAAGTTAGCGGGATTTGATTGACCTTGATTGTGATTTGTTATAATCGTGTCAATCCAATTAACATGTTTATTTAGGTGTCTCTTGTTCGTCTTTTATGGCCCAACCAGTTTAAATCAATTAGACCCGTTTAATTAATTATGTCATAATTGTGTTAGTTTAACCTAATTATGTAACTTATTTTAACCCTGTTACCACAAACATTTTATTATTATAGTAGTATATATCAAATATGGATATTGTGTCGTCCTTTTTTTTGGTGATAATGATTTTGTCCTCATTTTCATGAACATTTTTTTAAATGGATCATGTTGTGTTGTGAGTTACGCGACCCAGTAATTAAACGAGTTACAAGGTTAGTGTTAGTTCCCAGTTTAATAAACAAGCCGTGATCACAGGTTAACCTATATAAACAATATACTATTAAGTTGACACAACACAAAAGTGTCCTGGCAACACGAATTGCCATCCCAGCTCTTGTTGAAAAGGTCAAGTTTATTTATGCCCTTTTTTATGCATTGTACTTCTACATCATGTAGAAAGAAAGCTGTCGACAGAGGTTCAAAAAATTTGTGCCTTGTCTACCATTTTTCTTGGACCTCTGTATTGTTGTAACTGTAAAAACTAAGAAGCAAATATCAAGTATTTTTCAGGACATTGCTTAAGCTCTTACATTAGATATCATAGTGAAGAATGACAGTTAGAAAATTCTGGGGATTTGTGATTGATCCTTATTGAATTTAAACTCCTCCGTATATGCATTCTGGTTGTTTTGTGTCAACCATTGTTAGTCTATTTTAGGTTTCAATATGTTGTAAGAAAAAATGTTGCCCACAGAGAGTAAATCTTCTCATGCTTGTTCTTTTAAAAGTGAACTTAATATGTAACCTAAACTATATACTTATCAAAAAAAAAAAGTATATGTAACCCAAACTATAGTTGTGATGTTCAAAAGTCTGCTTAAATACTTAGATTCATATTTAATTTGTTAAACTTATTTTTTTATGTTACTGCAGTTCTAATGTAACTGAAAATCACTGTTCCTTCTTGACCAAGGATTCTGACTGCCTTTATTGGACTGCATTTTTGGAAGGCGATGCCGATAACTTATCTGTTATTGTGGTGCCCCTGAGATCAGCTGGTTTCACCCATGAACAGATGTCATGAATCATGATGAAATGAATATAGATTGATTGTTTTTGGCCCTTTTTTTTTTTTTTTTTTTTTCTTTAGACTTTATCGGTATAGATAGATCGCTTGGTTAATGTATTAAATTATGATCTATTAGTTCTCAATTCCATTATATAGATGTTCAGAACATACAATGTGATTGAATAGAAGTTCAAATTGATTTTTGAATGGTTTTTTTTTTTTCACTGTTTATTTTTATGGGTCACTAGATTTCCTAATAAAAACGTGAGTGTGCAAATCAGACGGTGAAAAGATGTGCGTCCGTTTTGGATTTCATTGGTATGTTCTAATAATGGGCTTCTATAAGACAGACAGAAATTAGAGCCTTCGTGGTCAGAATCCTATGCAATTGTACAATTTTTTTATAACCCTTAAACAGACACCCAATCTTTTCAAAATTGGACTAGGAATTGTCAGATTTTGGGAATGCAAGGAACTAATCTTAGTCCTCTCCATCATTATTGATTCTGTAATGCATTATCTAAATGACTACAAAGATTTAACTGTCCTTGTATACTAAAGCAACAAAATCAATTGAGAAAGTTTGATACGAACTATGTATTTACATTATACAAAAAGAAGGAAGGTCCAGTCTCAGAGCTCAGCCTCATCCTCTGAGTATTTTTTTCCCTGCACGGCCACAATTTATCATGTGCAAAAATTAGAAGTTATGCACATATCAGAAGGGAAAAGACCATAAACAGAAGAATAGACAAAAAAAACACAATATATATATTAATATATTGTCATGAGAATCAATATATTAATTAGCTTGGCAAGAATCCACCAAGCTACTTGAGGAATAATGCAAAATGAGAATCAAACCCACAACCTAGTGGAAATGACAAAGACATCCCTCACGTACTGCCAATACTTCAAACCACCGTAAATTACCTGATTTCAACCACTTATCAGTACAGATGGATCTTCTTCAACTGAAAGAACTTTAGAATCATTATCCTTATAATTATTCCTTACCGTCAACTCTGGGCTTCCTCACCTCAGCTTAGACCAGTCTCTCATAAATTTGATATTTCTAAAACTAACCTATTCCTCCCTAATTATAATCACCTTTTCGGTTACAGTTCCACCTCTTGAGAATGTTAGCGAATTTTTAGAAATACATGGAGGTCTATCAAATTCCTTCAACTTCTGCCTCTAACTCCAGCTGACCTCACGTCATGACACCTCTTGCATCACATGTTACCAAATTTGAAGATAGGCCCTAAGAATTAGCATCTGATCCAATTCCAAAATAGGCAAAGGCAAAAATTTTGCATCTCATTTGAAAACTTCTCCTCCTACTCTAGTAAAACCAAAAACCTACATAATCTAAAATTATCTGATTTTCATGATTGTTAGTCCACATAAAGTGTCCTACACAAAGCATGATGTACTTTAAATTTTATTTTTACCGAATTGGGCGCCGCAGGGGGGTGGTTTGGGGGCGGGGCCTTGGTTTTTAATTTTCAGCATTCAATTTTTGGATTTTGTATTTCTGATTTTCTATCTTCCAAACAGTGAAAAAGTTGTATAAAAACTAATTGAAGTTATAGATGTAAATATGTCGAAATACTAATAATTTGTAAGTGAATCCCATATAATTACCAGTTCCCCCTCTCCCACACATTGCTCAGCAATAAAAAGAAAGATAATAATTATATAAAGGAAATCACAAGGAAGAGCAAAATGAGGATGCTTGAGAAGAAGAGGGAAGTAAAAGTAAGAGGGTTGTCTGTTTCTTATTGCTTAAGTTGTTGAGGAGATTGGAACTTTAACATGGTATCAAAACCTTGGTTCTCTGAGGTCTACCGTTTGAGTTTCAACCTCTATGTCTGTTGCTCGACCGTTTTCCGATTTGCACTATGTTCCATTTTGTCCGTTTCCCTCACATTTACAAGACAAGATGGCGCGTGAGGAAGTGTGTAAAAGCTTGCTAGATGTTATTTGCTTGATAGTTGATTCTTACTATCCTTACCAGTCATTTTACTAACAAGATAAGCTTTTAAGGTAATTGGTAGCCTTAGCCTTAAGCCTTTATTCCTGAGGTATTTGGTTCAAGTGTACTTATGTTTGTTACCCCGTTATGTTTCTGTGTTTTGCATTCCTGTTCTGTTCTGTTCTGTTCTGTGAAGTATGTTTGCCTTTATAAGTGCAAGACAAATCCTTCAGTGCCCTCGCACTCCCATTCTTTGCTTCACTCGCCTCTTATTGCTCCTCCACAAATTAAAGATTGAAAGACTTTCTGCACCCTCCCTCTCTTATCTTTTCCTTCTCTTATTTTTTCATCAATATTTTAGAAAACTTAAAAAGTAAAGTTAATTCACTCATTAAATTGGTAGTTGACAGTTTTTTAATCATATTATAAGCTTCAAAACCTCATTTGACATATGATCCATAAGAAAATGATGCAAATTGATAGGTTCAAGTTATCAGGTCCTCTCTGAGTACTTGATCTAAATTCTTTTGTCCTGTCTCATTGTCTCCCACTTCTGCCTTTGAAGTTTAAACACACATGGCATGGAATACATATCATGTCCTCTCTCCCTAAGCCTTTTCTTTTCATTCTCTTTTCTCTCCTCTTTCTTAATACATTTAAAGTCAAGCTTACACCAACTTTCCTTCTTTCTTTTTCTCCATCTTCTATTCAATTTCTTTCTCTCTTTCCCCTTTCCTATGCTCTTTTGAGGAATATATTTTAAGATGGCTAAGAGGTTCTTACCAAAAACAATGTGGCCTCCCTCAAAAAGGGCTTTGGGTGATCGCGTTGTGCTCTCCCTTTTGATGGACTCCCTTTCTTTCTTTTTTCATTTCCATTATAATTTTCTGTTCTATGTATCACCTTTTCTTATACAAAAACTTGCTGTCCATTCAATCTGTCGTTCACTTTGATCATCATTCCCTAATTTTTACTAATCCACCATGATAGTAAAAACCTAATTTTGTATGACCTTGTCAATATACCATTGATTTTTGGTGTTTTCTCGTCCATTTCATTTTCAGGCTACTTGTTTGTTGACTTTCTCATTCAATGCTTATATAAATGAATCTCAAGCTTTATAGAAAGACTTGAAATGTCTAGCATTTTAGATATTCTTTAGCATATATTTATTACTTACTTTTGTTGGCTAATAATTTGAAGACACTACATAAGGATTTCTTTTTTCTAATAAACTATGAGGACTTACTCAAAAACATTTCTGTTTCTCTAAAAAGAGTAAAAACTGTATGCTGATTTTTTTTTTTTTTTTTTCTTCCATGAGATGGCTCAATGACTCACAAACCAAAGTAATCATCAAGGAAAAAGAATTCATTATGCACACAACAAAAATAATAATTTTGGTGAGTCTCTAATGTCATGATCGACATTTTAATAAAGCTATGAAAGGTGGCATTTCAATCCTTGCATTTCCCTCTTTAAAATGAGATGAAATTTTTTTCCAAGTTTAATGACTTACAGGATTTGCGGTTAATAGTTGGCGTGCTAACTTCACAAGCAGGACATCAGGAAACCTAAAAGTTGCAAACAAATTTATGGCGAATCAGTAACCATTTTAAACAAAACATAAAGTAGAAATCATAAAATGTGATTACATTATGAAATAATGTTCATGATATCAGAAAGTTACCCTAGATGAAGAGGATCTCTGCTTTTTACGATTTGAGAGAATTTTGCATCTGAACATTTCTTTATTCCAAAAAGAAAACAAAATTATCAGAATCGAAACAAGATGCCTTGTGTGCATCTTGTTGTATGTTCATACAAATGTATGCACACACACACTTACATAAAAGATGACATGTTATAAGTTGATAAGCTTGAAATTGCAGAAGTTTGATTAAAAAATGAAGAGAACTTACAGTGTTTCCCTGATAATGCCGAGCCCATGGAATGTCAATGCAAAATATAGACATTGCTATTCCCCTGAAATTATGATTGAATACAAAATTTCAGCAAAATCCCCCCTCCTTATGGCAGGAGGTTATTTTCTTCAAAGTAATTTGATTATATAGGCATCTAGATAAATGTGATGAAATAGTATATAACGTTATTTTTTTTCACCAAGATTGATGCATCATATTATGTTACTACATTGTTAATCAAACTATAGACCAGATGACAAAACACACACACACACACACACATAAGACAAACTGTATGAAAAAGAAGCAGAAAACAACATTCCAGTTAGGGAGGCAAAGTCTGGCAATACAACTTGATGCACAGGTTAAGGGCATGGAGGTCAAGAGCACTATGATACCATAGCCATTTCCCAGTTTGAAAATACCTACGACCTTCTCTAACTTTAAGGCTCTGGACCCTATTCAGGCAGGCAGTCATTTTCCTTGAAGAAAACATATCCATATGAGCTTAGGTCCTTTTATTTTTTATTTTTAAAAAATGATTTGTATTAAAATAAACTTTGTTTTTGCACAGTTTCAACTTTTCATAATTGAAACTCTGAAGTATTTTAAGTTACTGCAGTGGACTTTTCTAGTGACTTTCTACTTTTATTTATTTTTTTTGTATAAAGGAGGGTTAAAGGGCCTGAGAACTAACAGAATGAGGGTCAAGTCAAGTGCAATACTGCAGTCCGCACAGATCAAGTGCCCTAAGCACAGTGGCTTAATTCTGAAAACATGAATGCCATAGATCAAAACGAAGAAAGGCATTGTCCAGCCATCTGTACAACCATGCCCTTTTCTATAATCATGGTGATCAAATTAGTTTGGCAATATTATAGAGCATTGACGTAACTATTATGCAACTGTAATAAATTAACAGTTCATATTATGGAGAGTTACTATACTTGCTGTCGTAGAAATGATCTAGTTCGAATCATATTCAAGTTTAAGCTTCTTTTATTGAATTTTAATTAAGTTTGAAGTTAGTTTGGGTTAAGGTGAAAATTTATTACTTTAGTGCTCTAAAGATGATATAATCATTCTTTTGAAGCTAGTAGAATGGAAATGAGGACTTGCAGCCTTGGTGCCTTAATTGGGAAATTGTGATTGCTTAGTTTCTTTCTTTTTCTTCATTTTCTATTTTCTCTTCTATTTTTATATAATATTTCTTCCTCTTCTTATGTTTATTCTCCTAATTACTTTAGAACAAAGACTGCTCATATCCTTTTTGTGACGTCCCACACAGCTTGGGGGAGAGGTTTGATGACGCTTATTTGTGTGGATGTCTCCCAACTGTGTAAACGCGTTTTGAAAACCATGAGCACCGAAACAAGAGTGTGCAAAGCGGACAGTGTCTACATAGGGTAGGCGAGTCGTGACAAATGGTATCAGAGCCAATCTCCAAGCGGAAATGTGATGAGGGTGCACAAGCCAATGTAAGTTCGGCCAATGAGGATGTTGGGTCCCACGAGGGGTGATTGTAACGTCCCACATCACCAAAGTGCAGAGGTTTGATGCACTTATATGTGTGGATCTTTCCCACTGTGAAAACGCGTTTTGAAAACCGTGAACATCGAGAGGAGAGTATGCAAAGCGGACAATATCTCCGCGGTGCGGAGCGGGTCGCAATAGGTTTGTCCTTAAACTATTAAAACAGTACTTTTATACCATGGTTTTCTTACCAAACCTACTTTTCTGATCCAATAATTTATGTGGCCAAAATCCTGACATTTTAAAAAATCACACATCAATTTTTGGCATCAGAGCGGTAATCTTTCTTAGCACTAACACAGTGCCTTCATATATTGGAGACCTTCTCAAAAGATCGAGTATGAAGAAAAGATTTAAGTTCGAGAAAGTTTTCTTTGGAGGCAACAGTTCAATCCCCAGAAGTTTGAAACAGATTTTTTCCCCCCATCAAAGCCTAGGTATTAGATAGCTAACTATGGATTTTAGTATGACAGAGTGTCTCGTGGAAGTTTTAGGTCCTTAATTTTTTTAAGTTTGGAGTCAAATATATGTTTACATCGAACTTCAAATATTTATTATCTTCCCTAAATAGTTATAAAGTATTTAAGTTACTATGCGAACTCTAACACAAACAACACTTCAAGAAAGTTAAAATATTATAAAAGAAAGAGGAAATCGGATTCAAGGTATTACATACTTACTTACCAGGACTCTAATTAAAAACTAGCCTCAGAGGTATATTATCTTTTTGGTTGTATTCTGAGACCTATGGCGGGACATTTTGATTTTTAGTCTCATGATAACCTCCATAACAAACTGCTCTACTTGTCACCCACTTGAAACTTGTACCTAGTTAATTACTTCTCTTTTAAGCATCTAGCTTTGAAGCTATGTTATATGGACTTTTCAATGGTAGGTAAACTACTCATGTCCGCAACACATTGCTCAGACATGGTATTGGATATGTGCCCGACATTATTGGTTGGACATGCACCCAAAAACCATGTCCAATAATTCAATTTTATCATTATATTGATTCAAAATGAATGAAATGCCAACACTGAACACTTTGTTACATAAAGACATTATTTTATAAAAAAATATATATTAAATATTAAATAATATAAATATTTAGCCGTGTCCATGTGCCTTTTTATTGGGGGATTTGACACATTCAATGCGTGGATATATACCAGCACCAAACACACATGCCCAGGTCCACCTAAGTAACATCCATTTACAACCTCGATATATAAGACTGTACTTTTTCTTACCTTGAACAGAATAGAGAAATCACCTGACCAAATTACTTGTGCTGTGCGAATCATCTTCTATTATGTGTAATTGCTTAACATTCTATCACCTATTCCTTTATTTTCACTTTTCTTCTATTTAAGCTCTCAAAGCTCTTTGGTGAGGAAAGTAGAGACCCAAATTAAGTTTGATTCTAAAGAAGGCCTACTGTACTACATATTGGAATTTTTTTAGGGCAATAATGGCGATTAGTAATCATAACAACACAAGCTGCTGCTTCAATTAGTGAAGCAATTTTCCAAGCCTAAAACTCATCATATGGCTAGTTTTGGCGAATTATAAAGCGGGATATTCTGGTGGTAATTCCAACAAGGAGGGATATGTTGAACAAGATGATCAGCAACTGTACAAGCTGCCTAAACCAGTTTTAGGATGGTAACTCAAGGTTGATGCCAAATGGAGTTCGCAAGTGATGCAGCAAAACTTTATCTGTAGACTTGTCCCAACAAGCTTTAGTGATTAATTGTCTACAATCAAGGAATTTATTAATTTGCATTTAACAGAAATAAAATAAATATGCTTAGAAAAAATAAATAAATAAATATTTTATTTAGAGTGATATGTGAGAGATGAGCTTGGTCAGCTAAGCTAAGACAAAGCTTGTGAGCCTTGCAGTAGAAAAGGAGTGGTGTCAGATAAGAAGAATGAGAGATGGAAGAAAATAATGGAAGAGAAGTATACGACGCCAAATCTTTAAGACTAACTATGCAAACAAATTTCAATCTTAAAAAAAGGAGTATTATGATGGTACATGCAAATGTTTGAGCAGCTCAGGGCCAGTGCCAAATCATTAAAAGTTTTGTCACACCTTAGCCAGATTCAGATCTGCACTAAGATCCAGTATAAGAAAAAAATTGCTTCAACAGGACCCAAAAAGTGTAGAGAATGTGCTTTTAATGGCCTTAGAAAAGGAAGATTACTTAAGGACACCAATTCTCACTAAAATCACCTCACAACCAAGAAGATAACAGCAAAAAGATTGATGATGTCAACCAAATCGTGAGGATAAAACCTCTTTGACTGAATTCAAGGCTTAGTGATGCTGAAGGAAAGCATCTACTCGATAAAGCTAAAATATCTCAATAGCAAGACTTTTGTTAGTTTTAGGGTACTGGACGCATGCCATACCAGTATCCAACAAATCCAACTACATATTGAATGGATAGAAAGAGAGTCGCTTTTCTAAGAGAAGAACGAGAACAAAGAACGTATAAGGACTTGGGAAATACAGGCTAGGACATATCCCTTGCCAGCTTATACTCACTGTTTTGAGATATAAAAAGGAAGATTGGTAAACTACCATGTCAAACACTAGTAACTTGTAACAAGGAATGATGGAAATCATGTGAACAGGGTTTCAGCCTCGATCGTTGAGAGATTATACTTGTATTTTTCATGCAAAGATTAGAATATCACCCTCTACCCCAAAAGCATCAAAGAATTTATAAACTTGTAAGGCAAAAGACAATTAAAAAGCCACTATCATATCTTTCCTGATAACCTTAATCCATATTAATTCTGATCTTCCCCGTCCCTAGCGTTACCCATCAATATGAACATGTTACTCTTCCTTATTGTTGCAAATATTGATGTTCGCAGCAAATGGTCAGACCATCTTAATTGTTTGTCTCATTTTCTCTTATTGTTCGTGTTCTTATAGCAAGATACTATTCATGCTACCATAGAAAAGAATTAGATGGTTATTTTTTGTCTAACTAGGCTTCTTTTATTAGGCTTCGAATAAAAATTACATTATTTTGATTTCAAAGCTCTAACCTAGTTCTGTTTATTTATCTTTCTTTCACTGTTCATTATCCAGCTTAGCATAAGCCCCACCTATGCAGGATGCTGAGAGGGGAAAGACTAGAGAGAAACCTCACCTTCGGTATTATTTTACAAAAAGTGACAACTATTAAATATGTCATTATTGATACAAAATTGTCAAAGGATGGTAAGGAAATCAAGTTTAAGAATGAATGTTTATTTGTCAACCTATCCAATATCTGATCTACTTGAGGATCAGAAGTCGTGGGTGCTCTATCACTGTGGAATACAATCGGCATGCCCATGATAAGCTCCGGTATCACCAGCCCAACTGTCCAGGTATCATACCTTCAAGAAAGACAAGTTATGGATTTCAGAAATTTTAGTTTTTTACTACAAAGATATAGTAGACACGTGTTAAAAGAATTCGCACATTATAAGAATGGCACTATTCGGTTTCTTAATTCAATAACTACATACTTCAATGACAACTCACGAAGCCAACTTGACATACTTGGAAGTCGAGACTAAAGAACCCCTAATCATCAATGAGAGCTTCGGGAGGCATGCATGCCCAAGTCTGCTCAGCTCTGTTATGATAGATATATTATTAGGAAAAAGGTCAGCAATGAACACTAAAGAACATTTTCACATGATAAATATCTTAATAATAAAAAAGTAATAAATTACTTAAACGCTACAGATAACTTTCAATGTAGTGATTAATTAGCTGGAGAATTAATTACTTAAACTTAGAAGCAAGCATACCTAGAGGGACCGTTTCGCCCATACAAGTTAGATCTACTGAAATCATCAATTGCGCTCCCGAAGTCAATGATTGTAATGACCCTTAGCTGATGCCAAAACTTAAAAAAATTTGGCAGAACCTCCCCTAAAAATGGGTTTTCAACAGCCTGTCCCAATACACAAAACACATAAAATCATCCAGCATCCCATTCATCCGTTCATTATACCTCAACATAGTTCCTCTCATGGTGGAACATCCACACACCAATTAATCTAAATTAACATAATTACAGTCCCAAAATATATGGTTAAGATTTAAAGTCCCTGTCTTACAACGTTACATGATACAATTGCATGGAAACATATACCATAATTCCATTAGTTTCATTTACATAAAATAAAAGATAAGTTCGTTCTTAAGTTACAAGGCCATGAATACTAACTTAGTTACATCCCCACAACTATGAATATACATAAACAAAATAGCAAACAACCTTCTAACAACTTTCAAGCTTGAGGTGGATTGTCGTCCACCGGTTCATTTCCAAGACCTGAAAAAAATAATATAAATAGTAGGGTGAGCATAAAGCTCAGTAGGTGACACTTAAGACACAATTCTTGTGTCCTTATGAATCCAAACAAAGCATAGGCCAATGGGAAATAGGGATCATGCAATATAGGGAAGTAAAACAATATGCACGTCAATTCCAATTATAAACCACGCAGTGCAATGAAATGCAATGCATGCTAATGTCACTCCCCATTTTCATTCACAAAACCATCACTTTCAAATGTTAATACAGCCCGCCCTTTGGTAACCCCGCCACGACACGAGAGGAGGATTGGCTATCGTCCCTAGACCTTTGGTAACCCCGCAGCGTCATCGAGGGGCCCGAATAGCTCAACCACCCTAGGGCGACTCCCTAGTCCCCTCTAGGCTATATTAACCTCCGGCCCCGTTGGTAACCCCGCAGCGACCGGGTTTATCAAAACTATTTGACAAAACTCTTCTCCCAAAATTTCCCCCATTTTCATTTCAAGACAAATTCTCCCATTTCATGCATCCCAATGACATGTGCATGGATGTACATATAATCTCAATATTATGACAATGGGAAATTTGGCACAATCTAAATAAAATGTTCTCATTTGTCATTTTCAGCATGTTAACACATAGTGGGCATGATAAAGCAACATCTAAACATATTTTACACATGAAACAAGTCATAATCAAGCTCTTGAAAATTCTCTAGACATCATTCATACAATCATAGATACAATTAACTCCCAATTAAACATGTTTGACACAACAAGGAGGTGTAATTCACAATAGAACAAGAAAGGAGTAGATTAAGATGCCCCTACCTCAAAATGAGCAAAATCCCTAGAAATGGGTTCTTAAATTCGAGCTCCCAAAGAGGACCAAAAGCTGGAATTTCTGGTACTAGCACGTAGAGCTCGTCGTGCTCGTCGTTTTGCCTCAAACGGCTCTCAAATCTACCAAGGATTGAGAGAGCAATCAAGGATTGGAGTTGAAAAAGAAAAAAGAAAAGGAAAAGACAGAAGCAGCGAGAGAGAGAGACTTAAGCTGTCCGAGAGAGAAAGCAAATTGGAAACTAAATGGGTCTGTAATGACCCTTATATCACAGGTGGGCCCCACAGTGGAAAAAGTCATTGTTTACTAATTATATATATAGATAAAGTTAAAAACTTTAGAATGATACGCCTAAATGAAACATAAATTGGGTAAACTAGTACGTAAATACAGAGGAAAAATTAATATGAAAACAAATAATAACAAATGATTACAGATTCGTGTTGACAAATTCATCTCCGGCAGCAGAGCAACTCCCTTCATGATTTTGTAAGCATATGACCATGTTAGCTTCAAGAAAATAAATGAAAATTTCTTTAGTTATATGGAAAAGTATAGTTAAATTTGAAATAAACGGAACAACAATGGTTTCATAATTTATATCGTAAATGTTTAATTAGGCAAATATTAAGTGACAACTAATAATAATGTGAATTGCTGGTCTTTCGAGATCAACTGATAGTTAATGGAAATAAGATTATCAACTATGTTAAAATAACACTGAAAACAATAATGGAGGAGTTACATTAATACTTATATATGAATATATATATATATATATGATGCCATGTGAATAGACCAAGGTTGCGGCCCCAGAAGGAGCGAAACTGTGAAATAGGATTTATGTACGTCACACATAATGAGAAAAGGTTTTATGGAGTTGAAAATTATGGAGGGTAAATTTGACAAATTAATAATCAATCTGAATTACATGGTTTAATTATGGTAAGGGAAAAAATGGGGAAAAACATAAAGATCATACTTATACACTAAAGAAGAAAATCGAGTTTGAAAGAATAATGACATATAAAAGGTAAAATTGGTAATAGAGGATCCACTTTTGCTTCTATATAGTCCCTAAGCATACAGAATTTCAAGATGCATGTGATAGATAAAAATCAGTCCGTATATAACGATAATAAACTATTTTTATCTTATGAGGCAGTAAAGTGCAGAAAAGCTAAAGAACCAATTTAAACATTAATGATGACCGGTTAAATGTTGTGAAAGACAAAGATCTTACATGATTTGATGTCTCTGTGGGTGATGTTTTTTTTTCTGGTGGAGAAATTTTACACCCGTCAGCTAAATCACAGACGATTTAAGCATGTTAGTTCACCTTAACCAAAAAAAAATGTGTATATATATATATATATATATATCTTCAACCTGGGCATATAAGCAACCTGTAGTAGACTCATATAACATGCAGCAAAAAGATTATTTCTGAGTGTTGGTATATAGTGTTGGTATGTAGTATTTTTATAAATTAAAATCAAGCTTATGTTAGCTCAATAAATAGTATTTTTTATGGTTGAAATAGACTAAAGAACTGCTAGAGAGATGCAAGAGAAGAAAATTTAGTAGAAAGCAACAGGGCCTAAAATTAAGTTTGTTGTGGGAAATTAAAAGGTTATGCAAAAGCACCAGTTTTTGAATAATTACATCATCACTAGACATCTTTAGAGATGCACTAAAAATATTTCTAATTTTACATTGGGTAGACCTTACTTTAAAAACCTTCATCGATGAAATGCATACTACTGGTTCACTGATCAAACTCAGCATATGCCTAGGGCTACCTAAACCTCTTTTTTTTACACTAACCTTTACTATTGTTCTTCTGAATACGTAGTTCAGCATACCCCAATCTAATCAAGATTTCAAATTTTGGCGTCATAGAGAAAACTACATCTCACAAAACCAAATGTGAATGTGCACTCAAATGCACAGGCATCATGAAGAAACTGCTCGAAAAGATATTTGGCATTAGCTAGAAACACCATGCTTTGTTGGGTCAAATAAATTTCAGGAACACTAAAATTGTGAAGCAAAAAAGAACAATCATGAGGTCGCTAACTCGCTATGCCCTCAGCCATCAGATTGAGAGGCTAGTTAGGGCAACCAACTCGATCCAGTGGGTGAGAAAACAATTGTGATAGACTTGATTGTCGTCTCCCCCTCCCCCAAAATAATAATAATATATAAAATAAGAAAATAAACTGTATGTGAGAATTTCCATCCATACAGCCCAAATCTTTTAGAAAGCACACATATACATAAAATATATCATAATCTATCGTTCAATAAAATACAAGGAGGGTTCCACAAAGATCTCATAGGATTCGTCTGACAATGATGTCGACATTTCAACAAATCAAAATATATAAATGAACCTTGCTAAAGTCATGAAAAAGATAACATAACTACATAATTTATATAGTAATTGATTAAGATATATGACAATTTTCTACTTTGATACAACAGAATTATTTTTTGTTTTGTATAACAAAATTGCATTTTTATAGCCATCCCTCCCACCCATATTTTAATATAAAAAAATTCAGATTTTTATGTAGAAAAACAATGTTTATTTAATCAACTTCTTCATTGAAATCTGAAAGGAAATTTACAATTGGAAGTCCCTTTAATTTAAAAGTGGTTTTACATAATGACATCCAAACAACTTTTTATCCTAATTTTCTGCAATATAGAATTTTTAAAAAATAAAAAAATAGGCTCAAAAGACAACTGGTACTTCATTGAAATATTCTCCATCAGAAGGCAAGGAAAATATCCTAACCTTGCCTCATCTAAGTGGGATATAACCATGTTACAGTAAGAAGTGCTGTTAAATTATCCATGGAAGTTTGACAAACTACATGGCAAATGAGAGCTATAAAAGGTTTACTTTAGTAGGTTCTCAACTAGGAAAAGATGAGCCTAAAAAATGAGGAAGCCCTGCTACCACTAAATTGGCAGACCAATGTTATCATTGAAGAAAACATACGAGCACCTAGCCATGCAGAATCACCAAGCTGATTGACTCATTTTGATGCTATCAAACAAAAAAAGAATGAAAGAAAAAGCTAATTTGATCAGGGGAATTAGTGGTGTATGAAATGATACCAGCTGAAATAGAATTTTTTTCATCATTTCCCTCCCAGGTTCCGTTTCCTTCAGCCATTTCCACCAACTTGAGGGCTTCCAGGCCGTCTCACCTGTCTCTGTCTCATACATGAGTTGATATAGTGTCATTCCCCCATATAAAGACACTATATATAACTCATCGGAATGAGTAAAACTTTCCACAAAACGAATTATGCGCTCTCGGCCTTCCTGCGAAGGCTCCAAGAGTAGCTCACCAAAATACTTCTCTCGGAGCCCACTCAATCTGAAACTCGAATAGCCAATGACCTGTTTCTGAGAGAAAGACAAAAAAAAAAAAAAAAATGAGTGAATTATAGCACAAAGACAATGAAAAAAAAAAAGAGAGTAATTTACTTTAGTTTTCTTCATCACAAAATTATCTGCTCCACCATTACGGAGCCTAACCATCCATGATTCTCCAAAAAAGCCACTGCCTAATTTCTTAATAAAAATATACCTGAAAATAGATAAATTAAAATGATAAGATCACAAAAATAATATTTGTACAAGGTTTTTTTTAAACATAATGCTAATTATTCTACAATTATGAATAATATACAAGTTTGATGTTTTGTGCATATATTATTTAGAGTAATCATCAATTTGGAACCTAGTAATTATTTTTTGGGTAAATTAGAATTTTATTTAGCAACACCACGTTGGAGGCCAAGGAAGCTAGAGTACAAACAATAGCAACCTAACAAGCAACTAAAATGGAAACAAGTTGAAAAGTAAATCAGTTCAGCAATAATGTACAGCACTAAAACAAAAACAAACTAAAGAACAAAATAGCAACACCATCTAGGCTAGCTCTAAGAACTTCAACAGCCTGAAACTAGCAAAACCAGCAGCCAAAACAGAACTTCCTGCACTTTTCAAACACAAGGAGAACCTATTCAGAAGGAAACTCAGTATGAACAAATTCAGTTTATAACAAAGCAGCCACCCTGAATGTTTGACTTCCCCATTGAATATAATGATAAGGAAAAGGAGTCATATTTAACATAAATGTCATGGCCAAGCAGAGCATGATTTTACATTTAGTTTGGAAAAGCAATGTTTATGAAAAAATCATCATGAATAGATTACCATGCTAAAGAAATGTCTAATTGATACGCAACGAAAGTGGAACTCACTTATTGAGTCGAGAAATAGCCTCATTGTTTCTTGTGGTTTTGGGCACCAGCTAAAATACATTACACGGAGAAATAAGAATACAAAATAAGAACATAATTCCATTGGAAAAAAAAAAGAGAGAAGAAGAAGAAGATACATTTGATTAAAAAAATTATAAACAGGACAAAAGAATAAAAGAAAAGAAAATTGCAGGGAGATGCAATACATTCAAATTATTATCAACAGGGAACCATGGACACTGGTTATGAATTTTAATATTGTTCTAGGTGTGAAAGACTACAAAGCAAGACTAGTGACAAATCCACTGTAGACAAAATCAAAAGGAGCACAATTGTGTCAGACCTGAATGTCAATGGATTTATAGTCTGGATTAGCAAGAGAAAAGTTGGACATATTGTACCTTACTGAAAAAAAAATAAAAAATAAAAATAAAAGAAAGAGGTTGGGCATATTGATTCAGCAAGCTGGACAGAGTGATTGAATAATAGATCTTTATTAGTCATCAAGGTAATAATAATAAATTAATAGTAGACCTTTATTCGGGAGTTCGAGGAAGCTGAGGCCTGTTTTCTGGCCCCATGCATAGATAAAACTGTTCCTCAATTGTTATCGGAATAATTAACCAGGGGAGAATTAATTAGAGGAGAATACTATCCGTTTTTAGCTTTTCAACTTTCATAGGGATAACCATTTCTTTACATTGGAAAAAGAATGGCCAAATCCAGTTAGCGGTAGCCCAATTCTTAGACTATGTTTTAAGTTTAGAAAGATGAAAGCTGAAATTAAAGAATTGACCAATGAGCAGTTTCATACTATTAGTCAATAGTCACTTGGAACCCGAAGCAAAATTTGGGATGAAGCATTGAAGAAAGATTTACAAGATTTACCTTAGGAAATTCAAATTAAGGAGAAGAAAAGAGATGTTGCTATGCATAAACTGTATCGCTAAAGAAAGTGTTTGTAAGCAGAAATCAGGGTAAAGTTGCAGGAAGTATGAGAGATTCAGACAGATAATGAAAACAAATGACATGAGAATCAAATAAGGCAATTTTATAGCCAACTTGAAGTGCAATGTTTTCTGCAGTTAATGATAAGGCACCAAGGCCAGATGGTCATACTGCATATTGTGTAGAAAAGTATGGTCAATAATGGGCAATGATATACGTAATTAGGTGTGACCTTACCTGTATTTTCATGAAGCTCTTTAGACCTGATCAAATTTAAACAAACAAATCAATGAAATACACAAATATGAGTATGTGTATATATAAATATATATCATAACTGGACCTGAACAGAAGTTCGCCTATTCATAGCCTCCGACGGCTGGCCCCAGCAAGGGCGACTCTAAGGACTCATACAATGTGTACATTTTGGGGCCAAAATGAATCCAAAAGAATTGATATTTATATTTGTATATATGACCATGTTACTATATGTGTATATTATGTATACGTGTATAAATATGTGCAAATACAGGTTTGTGGAGCACAAATCTCAAAATCAATGTGTGTACATATACATGCATATGTGCAAATACAAATACGTATGTATATATCAATATGTATTATGTATATGTGTATAAATATGTGCGTGTACATATACATGCATATGTGCAAATACAAATACATATGTATATATCAATATATATGTGTATAAATATGTGCAAATACAGGTGTGTGAAGCACAAACCTGCACTTCCGATCGCCAGCTCCGGCGGAGGTGCCGCCACAGTGGAGGCTGACATCAATGCCAGAAATACTAAAACCAGAGCCATCCTAAAATCGAAGTGATTTTATTCAACGTCTTGCAAGGAAGAGATTAAAAGAACTAAAAACTTAAAGTGATGAAGACGGTAAAAATTGTTCACGGATTATTAATTCTTTTTCCAAGTCTTCAATTTCCATCAAATATACAAAGTATAAGAGAGAGAACCTGTTGATTGCTGAAGGACTGTAGGCTCACGAACAGTACAGAACGAAGCAGAAACAGAGAGAGATATAGAGAGAGAAAGAGTTGAACTGAACGAACTAGAGAGAGAGAAAGAGAGAGAGAGAGAGAGAGAGTGGATCGGAACGAGGAATGACCCTTTACATTTTGGGTGTTCGAAGAAGTTGTTACGAATTGGCGCCATTTTAAAAATCTGGGAGCGGTTTGATCTTTTTTCTTCTCGATCGAACGACTGATCGGTGGTGTGAGCGCCTCGCTCTGCCCATGGAGCTCCCAAAGTGGGTTATCGCAGAGGGGAGTAAGTCGGTTCTCCCAAAGCTAGCGTTTTAAATGATGTTAGAGATAATATATCAACTACACTCTTAATTGGGCCGATAAGTTGCGATGGTCTAGGGCTTTCCCTCTCTAGTTGGCCTGGTCTCTTAATTGGGCCGAAAATAAATCAACACTCATTATTTTTATTGTTGATAAAAATATTATATTATCGGTATTTATTTTTATTGTTGATAAAAATACTATATTATCGGTATTTATTTTTATTGTTAATAAAAATATTATATTATTGGTATTCCAAAATACCGAATAATTTTCTTGTGATTGGAATTTTTTTTTTAAAATTTTCGGAACGTATCTTGTGATTGGAATTTGCCAAGACAGTTGTGACGATGAGCATAAATATGTGGCGGCTTGTGATTTGAATTTATATAAAAGATATTAAGGTTCTTTTGCCATAATTTATTTCATTTTACTTTTTTGATAAATTTGTAACAATTTGATAAAAATAAAATTTAAAAAACACCTTAAATCAAAGAATTTATGGTAAAGGAAAATCAGTGTTTTGGATTTGAAATTAAAACGCATTCAATTTAAAGTTTTAAAGACCATTTCAATTTCAAAATCTCCCAATCATAATATTAATTACAGTGTAAATTTTCTTACTTTGTACGAGGATTGATTTTAATAAATAAAATGACACTTATTTCTCAACAGTGAAGTGTAAGAATATATTTTGTAATGTAAGAATATATTTTGTAATGATTGTGCACTACAATAACTTTTGAAAGAACAATCAAGTCATTTTATTTATAAATATGTATATGAAACACCAGAGTACAAAATTGAAGTCCAAATATCAGTTTTAAAAAATATAATTTTTTTGTTTCAAATTACTTTTGGAAGTCCATGATGATTGCTGGTTTTTAAAACTCAAAAAAGCTTTGACTATGTTCAGTTGCATAGAATTAAAATTTTATAATTGAATTTGATGGATTTGGAGAAAAGGTTCTTACCAAATTAAACTAAAGTTGTATTCGGTTGCATGAAATTAAAGTTTTGGAATTAAAAATTATGGAATCAGAGAAAATTAACTCATAAAATTAAACCAAAATTTTTTTCCAATTTCATGCAACCGGACATAACTTAATTTTAAAACTCAAATTCCAACCATTCTAATTCTAAAATCAAATTCTATGTCACCAAATGCAACTTTTACAAAAAAAAAAAAGTGTTGAAATTGCTTGAACTTAGAATTCTTTCTGAACCTCTTCCGATCGAAATTGAAAAAACCAACTTCAAGACCAAGTACTCTCTTAGAAATGGAACTTTCCTAAGGACATTTCTTTATCCCTTTTCATCATTCATCATCACTCTCGACCACAAATTTTTCATCATTCATCATCACTCTCAACCACAAAATTTATGATATTAAAAGTATTTATTAACCGTGATTCTAAAAAACTATTTCATTAATTAAAGTATAATTAAAAGTAAATTCCTTGTGTTTCACTCCTTTTATACTACCCATAAATAGAATTAGAACTAATGACGAATTGAGACAAGGTGTTACATTCTTACTCAAAGCTGCAGGTAATCCGTAATCCATATTGCTACTTTTTACGTTTGCTTTATTAAATATAGTAGTAATACGGTAATAACTTCTTTGTTTTTAAAAATGTGCTGAAATGTATATAAAAATAAATAAATAAATATATATATATACACATACAATTTTAATTTTTAATAATAATATAAATATAGATAATTTGTTCTCCGGCTTTGTTACATTTTTATTGACATATTGGTTTCACACGGTTCTTTAAATTCAAATTTAGTCTCGCGTCCTCGGTACTTTTAAAATTGCACAATGGCATTTATGTAATTTAGAATAGATTTTTTAGATGGCAGTTGTCTCATTCTCATACCAACTGAAGATCAGTGAGGTCATTTATTTCTTCTCCACTGGGTTTATTGGTTAAGGGCTGATTTGGTAATTTCATTTACAACAGCTATATACTGTATTATATTTATTTCTCCAACTCTAACAGCTGTTCTTGGGTAAAATACACTTTGACCCCTGTGTTTTATTCAAAGTACAGTTATATCTCACTACATTTGCATGCTTATACTCACCTTGACCTTTAATGGTCGTTTGCTCACGTCATAAAAGACATGCTATTGGAAAATAAAATTAGACCTTGCTACTGTTTTGATTTGAGTGGGAGATGACGCCAATGACGTCATTTTTCAATTACTACGTACATCAAAAGAGGAATAATTGTTCAAATCTATGACCCGCTTTTAAATCTCTTTTTCAAACGTAACTCACAATTAGCGGTGATAATTCGTGTTAATGGGTCGTAATTATATCATATCGATTTAAGAATATTTTATTAAACAGTTTAACCCGAACACGACTCGTTTAATAATCGTGTCAGAAATTTTCAACACTAACCCGATTTATTCATTAAATGGGTTATACGATCCGATTTAATAATCGTGTCATGAATCCTCAATATTAATCCGATTTATTCATTAACCCGTTTAATGTCCTGTTTAATAAAATAAAAAATTATTATTTAAATTATTAATAATATTCAATCAAAAATTAAATACTAAAAAAATACAAGTTTCAATCCAACCAAATTACTTAATAATCTCTAATCTACAAAAAAAATAAATTATAAGATACAAATTTAAATAGATATTTTGAAACTTAAATAGAAATTTGTTTATGACAGGTATAATTAAACGGGTATAAACGAGTTAAACTCCTCAACCCAAACAAGACACGATTAATTAAATAAGTTAATCATGTTGATCCGTTTACAACCCAAAATCTATTTAAGGTCAACCCAAACCCGTTTAACCCGTGTTGACAAATCGTGTAAAATTTTGCTACCTTACTCACAACTTGAGAATGACTATCAACCCTTTAATGCACAATATTCCTGTTTGACAATTTATATATATCTAATTGTGCGCGCGCGCGCGCATGTCAATGAAACAAAATATGGATCCTTCTGAATTCCCTGATAAAAATGGAATTTATTTTGGAGGTTTTAATTTCTCTCTCTCTCTCTCTCTCTCTCTTTAATATGATGGTAGAGACATTAATATGGGCCAGTAGGGCTGTAAACGTGGGACTGTAATGTGGTCATATTCCCAAATAGGGTCCTTACACTTCCTAGAACATAGACTTGATATGACACATTAGACCAGTCTTCGATAGGCCCAGGCCTGTTAACACTCCGAGCCCAGAGTCCGGATCCTTTACTGTGTGGGCTTTTGCTAATTTTTAAATACGGAATTAATATATTTAAACTCATTTTAATTGATTTAAAATTATAAATAATAATGTTGAAAAGAGATGACAACACAATTAAAACATGTTTCAATATATTTGTTCTAAATTTCAAAAAATTGTTACTAAAAGTTGCAATAATGAATAATGGTAGAATTTGTTAAATGGTACTTCTTCAATCCCAAATTAAGTGTCTAACTTTTCATATTTAGCTAATCAAGATAATTATCATAATTAAAAAATAAATATAAAAAATAAACAAGGAGGAGGAAGAAAAAATAAAACATATTTTGAGAAAATAAATTTCAGCACATTTGTGTCACACTATTATTATTTATTGCTAATATATTTAACGTTGAGTAATAAATATTAGAGTAAAGTACAGTCACACCACTGAGGTTTGACAAAAGGACAATCGGCTGAAACTTACCTCTTTTTTGGACAAAGATATCTCCTGGGGCCTAGTTTGGTGCGGTGGAATGGAATGCAAAGAAAATGGAATGGAATGGTTTTTATTCCATTTTTGTGTTTGGTGTCTAATTTTAAACTTGGAATCGTCATTCTCCACTATTCTTGGAGAATGGTCATTCCATCAAAATCATTCCACCTTTTTCACAAAAAGAATGACCATTTCATTCCAACTTTAGAAAAATACAAACTAAAAAAATATTAAAAAATAAAACCTAACAAATTACAAACCCACGCATCACCATCTCTCCATTAAACAAATCGTCGGCATCATCACATCCTCTACCAAACCCACCACCGGCATCATCACATCCTCTGTCAAACCTACCGTCGGCATCATCACCTCTATCAAACCCACTGCCGGCATCATCATCTCCTCTATCAAACCCACTGCCGGCATCATCACCTCTTCCATCAAACCACCAGCGTCATCATCTTCTCCATCAAACCCACCATCGGCATCAACATCTCTTCCATCAAACCCACCGCTTGAACTTGAACTTCAAAGTGATAGATCAAGACACAATAAAAAATTAAAAGTAGATCCGAAGCTTTTTTGTTTTTTGGTAAGTTAAAAAAAATAAATAAATAAAATAAAATAAGAAGATTTGAAGCTTTTTTGTGATACTTTCCAAATCTGTTTACATAAGCTTTTTCATTGAAGTAAAAAACCTTATATTGTTCACTTTTTTTTTTTTTTTTTTTTTTTTATTTACTTTATAAATGTCCCAAGTACTTAAAAATGTAGACGTCTAAAATGATTTTTTGATCCAATACATATATTTCAAATAAATTATATTTTGTTATTACTTATTTTCTTTTTAAAAAAATAAAAATAAAATTAAGATGCTTAATTCTTTCATCTAAAAAAATTAAACCAATCTATTTTCCTTAAAAATAAAAAAAAATGGTATTAGTATAACTTTATGCATCTTAAATTAATATTATGCATTTCCTAACATAAAAGGGAAAAAAATAATAATAAAACAAAGGGAAAAAAAATAATAAAACAAAGGGAAAAAAAAAACAAAAAAATAAAGGCATGCATAAAGTTATATTAGTACCTATTTTCTTTTATGTTGAAAAATGTATAATATTTGATATATAATTTATTTAAAATATATGTATTGAATCAAAAAATCATTTTAGAAGTCTTCATTCTTAAGAAGTTGGGACATTTATAAAGTAAAAAAAAAAAGAAAAGGAAAAGAAAAAAAGGTAAACAATATAAAGTGTTTTTTTTTTATTTTATTTTATTTTATTTTTTTATGCATAAATTATTCATGAGGGTAGATTGGTTCAATTTATTAAATTGTAAAGTTAAAAAATTCTCATAAACTGTCAAAGGGTAATTTAGTCAATTTTTCATGTAAAGGGGGTGTCTTTGTCCATTTTTAAACCTTTAGGGTGTGTCTTTGTCCAAAAAAATAGGTAAGTTTTATTTGAATATCTTTTTATCAAATCTCATGGGGTGTGGTTGTATTTACCCTAAGTATTATTAAGAGAGTTATTTGTGACAAAAAGCCACAAGTTAGGAAAATTTCAGTTGTCCGTCAAGCATGTGGACTTTGAACCTAATCAAGTAGTGCCAATGTTCCAATGACTTTCCATCTAATTTTATAGTAAAATCTCTATATGGTGCAGGCATCATCCGAGACAACTTGAGGTCTCAACCGAATATAATACTAATTTTATTGTACATCTCCATATTCTGCAGGTTTCATCTCATGAGACAAATTGAGAGACTCAACCAAACACTAGTGGAAACTTTTATATCCCTGTACATCATGGAGCACTTTTTAGCTTTGCTCTACTGATATGGACAAATAGACAAAGTCATTTGACACGGTACTTCCTAATTTTATAATTTGTTTAGCTTGTAACTTTGATAATAATTTTTTATTATAAAAAAATTAAAAATTAAAAACAGTAAAAACTTTAAAAATAAGAAATCGTAAAAAAAACTCAGTCTGATTTTGTTTTCTTAAAATGCAGTTATATAAAATATTGTTTTCAGATAAATGTCTTTTATAATTATTTGAAAACAATTTTATATTCTCTGAATTATTGAGAATTGCTTTCAAAATTACAAAACAAAGCAAGCTCTTACATATTGAATTGATTCCAAACCGGTTGAATATATCAGATTTGTTGTTTATTATTGTCTAATTGCCTAACTTAATTATAGTTAATTGTAAAATAGAGTAAAAATTACAAAAAATATTCATGCTAATCAATATGTACATATGAAATTCTAACATTTAAAAATATGTGCAAATTGTCCTCTAATTGGCAGTCAATTTTGACAAAATTTTTATTTTATTTTTTTATAATAAAACTCCAAAATACTCTTAATATTTATTTTAAAAATGAGATGGGGGTTTTTCATTTTTATTTTGTTTTAAGGATATTTTAGGTATTTTAATTCATAAATTGACAAAATACTCTTATTTGCTCAATTTAAAAAATGTAAGGAGTTTTTTTGTATCACGAAAAAAGTATTTGCTCATTCTGTATATAAACAAAATTTTCTTTTTTTTCACTTTATCCTTTAAAATATAACAAAATCAAACACCAATATATTGTATCGACTTCTTAATGATAATATCAATAATAAATTGTGTAAATGTTACGTGCACTCAAATACACAAATATCACGAGAAAAAAAAAAAAAAAAAAAACCAATTGAAAATATATTTTGATATATAAAAAAAAAATTTGACATCTTTCATGCGTGCAATACAGTACTACTATAGTGAATGATTACTGTTAATCACGCTGTGCAATATAGAACTGCATCCGCTTATGTCGAGAAACACATGCTTTCTTGTTGAAGAAATTTGGAAAGCACAAAATTGTGAAGAGAAAAAGCAATGGGTGCTAATTTTTGTAGTACGACAAATATACTATATAGAAATGATAAACATTCCGAGGAGTCTTGCCACGTCATCACTTCCAGCTTGGCCTACTACGGAGTATTATTAAACACAGCCATAGACTTCTAGTTTAAAATATATATGTATATATTTTAACTGCGCCATATCTATTCGGTAAAAGATGGCTCGAGGCTTTGAGCGGTTAAAATTAAGCCTTTCATCTCTTCTATCTCTATTGCGAAGGGAAAAAAAAACAAAAAAAAAAACGGAAAAACTTATCTCTACGCTGTTTCTCGTCTTGTTCTTCAGCTGAGCCAACTCAGCTCCGAGTTAGCTCATCGGAGCTCGGGCGTTGCCATCTCACACCGTTATTTTCCAGGGACTCCGAGTTCGAATATTTCCACTTTTTGGGTAAGAATTACGCCGGAATATTCCTCAATTCGCTTGTATTCGTTTCATCGCAATATCTCTCTGTATCATCATCATCCCTCTCTGACTCTCTCTGTCTCTCTCTCTCTCTATATATATATATATATATATATGTACTGTACGTCCTTACATGTATTTGTGTGTATATATATTAGGGTTCCTTTTCGCAATTTCGTAATATCGTGATTCAATATAACTTTATTACTTTTATTGGTTGCAACTGTGCATACATTTGAATTATTAATGATCGATTCCTGTATAATACCATTTCGATTCAGATTTTTAATTGATTGCTGTGCTTCGTTTGCTTGGCAGATTTTTGCGAGTTTCTCTATCCTTTGATAGAGAATTGTGGCGATCTAATTGAAAACGAGTTTGGAACGAGTATGAAAAAGGTGACGCGAAAAGTTGGAAGATATGAGATGGGACGCACAATTGGAGAAGGTACTTTCGCCAAGGTTAAGTTTGCGCAGAACACAGAGACTGGTGAGAGTGTGGCCATGAAAGTTATGGCAAAAACCACCATACTCAAGCACAAAATGGTTGATCAGGTTTAAAATTAGTCTTCCTTCCCTATAATTGTAAAGATATATATATATATATGTGCTTATGTATTCTGACGCGCATCATATGAAGAAAGTGCCTATAGAATTTTTAAATATTGAAAGTTTATGTTTATTATTATTTTTCTGTAAATTTGTATCTATTTGTATCTCTATTAATGGAGTTCTCTCTGTATATGTGTTTGAAGTCACAATTGTAATATAGCTGCACAATTTTCTACAGGACTATGTTTCCTTGTGATTATTTGATGTTGGATAACTGATGCTGATGAGTGGATTAGTCCAAAATGAAAGAACCATATGCTCAAGTGCCTCAACTATAGAGTTCCAAAAATCTGATGAAAATTACACATATTGGGATTGTTCAAAAGATTTAACAGTTCGAGGATTTCAAATTATTATGATTTTCTTAAAAGTGAAACTAAATCTTAGTCCGGGTAGTAGCGTAGAGGTTCATGGTGATAGGTGATGTAGGGGATGAGAAAATATATAGAAAGAATATCCTAAAGGAGGGATCTTTGTAATTTTCTTACGATTTTATTTCATAGCCTGCTCTGACATCTAATTTATAGTAGGGGGGAAATGTTCGTCTTTTGACCAAGGAGTTTGATGTATCCACTTTTTCCACTGGTTTTGCATTTCAAGTTGTTAAATTTTCAAGGAAGGAGTCATACTTGCAACAAAGGTATAGGTTCATTGAGAATTATCTATAGCTACTTCCCATTGAGGGGGAGGGACCGTAAAGTCACATAAACACCTGGTCAGCTATACGTCCTAAGACTTGACTCTTTGTTGCAATCTACTCTACCATCTTTCTCCTTACATGGTCAGAATGGCAAAAAGTCTCTAAATTCTATCTAAATTTTTGATGACCTTAATTTGGATTTTGAGAATGGAGCAGTAGTTAGGCAAGGTAGCTGAGGGGACTTGGTATATACAACCCGTTAAGAATTTGGTACTTCTTTTCCCAAAATTTCTGTGCTTAGTGCTTATTAAATTTCTCCACAACGAAAATCTGAATGCTTTTGATATTTTGGTTCTGACCTAGAGCCTACAGGACAACCTATCTGTTATATAAAGGCCACTGAGGCAACCTACAGTCCCACACTAAAACATTTTCAAATGCATGTAGCCTACTGGCTACTGCAGTTCACATTTCTGGATAATGCATGCATACATGTACAAAGGAAAAAAGGAAGAAGAAGAAGAGAGACTAATTTCTAAGTTATTGGAACTTTAGATTTTTTTATTCTCAGTTTGATTTGAGTGTGAACATATTTGGTAGAAGTATGATACTTCTGACCTTGGCTCATGAATATTCCTTCTCTTTATAAGTATTTTCTAACTTCCTTGAGTTTATTTCCAGATAAAAAGAGAGATATCCATAATGAAGATTGTCAGGCATCCTAATATAGTTAGGCTGCATGAGGTATGTCTTTGCAATATGCCTTTGATCAATATTAATTTTTCTTTATATCACACCATTGGTATGTTAAAGACTTATTTTCCTGAAGCTTTTCTGGATATTAGTTTTGCTTTTCTTTTTATTTTTTTGTTAGGTTTTGGCTAGCCGGACAAAGATTTACATTGTTCTAGAGTTTGTCACTGGAGGAGAACTTTTTGATAGAATTGTAAGGCTTCTCCAACTTCTACTTATGCAAATAGTGGATGTTAACATTCTTTTACATTTTCTCTTTGCTTGGATGTTGTTGAAATCAGATGATTGTTTCACTCACAAGGTTGTACATTTTTATAATTTCCAGAAGTGCCTTGCAGAATTTCTTAAAACATGTTTATAATTTCCATCTTAGTGGCGTGAAGCATTGCTGCTCCATTATGCTGCATTGCTGATGTGGGGAACTGTTTTTGCTCACTCTTATCCTGGGTGTACAGGTTCATCAAGGCAGACTTTCCGAGAACGAATCCAGACGATACTTTCAACAGCTTATAGATGCAGTTGCTCATTGTCACAGTAAGGGTGTGTACCACAGAGATTTGAAGGTGCAAAACGATGGTTGACATGTGACTCATTTCATTGAGCAATTGTATTTATTCAGGAAAAAAAAAAAATTGAGCAATTGTTTTTATTATGGTGATCCTAATTAACATTTTTTGGTTTTCTTTGTTATTTATAGCCTGAAAATCTTCTTCTCGATTCCAGCGGAAGCTTAAAAGTTTCTGATTTTGGACTGAGTGCATTGCCACAACAAGTAAGCATGATCATGTTCTATTTGGATTGCAAAACAAAAGAGTGCTTCTTTTAACTATGTATATACTCTGTATAATCCATCTGCAGGGAGTTGAACTTCTTCGTACCACTTGCGGGACCCCCAATTATGTTGCCCCTGAGGTACACCCTTTTAAGACACATCAATTTGCCCAATACTAATTTGATCTGGTCTCACATACCAATGCTGCCTTCTCTTTTTTCTTTTTTTCTGCTGTTCCTATAGCTTTTGATTTTATCTCATTTGGCTCAGTTTCATGCTTGATGGTTTTGCCGACACTTGTTTTACATATATGACTTTTAGGCAATTTCTGTCAGGATTACATAGCTTCAAATTAGGGTATTGTTTTGTACTTCCTATAATTACATGTATAAAAAAATAAGTATTCATACTGTTATATAAAGGTAAAAGCTTGAAGGTGGGGCAAAACTTCCTTACAGGAATACCTTATTCTAAAAAGTAGTTCATACCTTTGAAACAGTGGATGACATTATAATAATTTGATAATGGTTATGAAAAATCTTAGGCTTTACTTTTCATTTTCTGTTTGCATCACCATTCTCATGGTAAGTTTACTAAGTCGAATTGGAACTGGCAATGGAGCCACTGCCTCCTGCCCACTACCACTAACATTGCCACCACTTGAATACACGCCTTCCATTCCTTTCAATATCATCGCAATGTATCCATCTTCATGCATAAGGATATTAGATTACCTAGTAGGAAAGATAGAAAAACTGTCACAGGTCCTTTCTCCTTTCTATTCTTGTTTTTGGATTAATATATATGATTATGTTTAAGTTAATATATTAAGATAGAAATAGACAAAGTAGAAACTTAACCTTTTATGTTATGAGACCAAAGATTTTTTTATTTTCCTTAAGCGACTTAGTGAAATTATGCTTCACAATCACTAGTTTAACATTGTCCACCTCCACCATTTTTTTTAAAAAAAAGTATTACATCGTCCACCTCCACCCGTACCACTTCCATTATCATGACTGCTGGATTGCACACTTGCATCATGTTTATACATTAGTGTATTCAAACATACACAGATAAGCTGTGTTATCGCATCTATTGCTGGAATTATTGATAAAGTGCTTTGCACAGTACTTTCAAGCAGTTGAGTTATTAGCTCACTGACTTGTGCAAATATCTTGGGTACATAAATATTTTGAAATTACAGTGCCTCCATGACACCCAATAATGAGTGAAATATTGTTGGATATCAATGGAATATATTCAGCAATATGCATAAATAAAGAGAGAGGGAGCTGGTTGTCTACCCTCCTTGAGCTTGTCTTTTGAATGGGTGGGTGAAAGGAGTGTATCTCTGTCAGTAGAAGATGTTTATTTTTCACTTTCTTCATTTACTTGAATACCTCATGTTTAGTCTTATCTTTTTCCTTTTTAATTTTCCCTTTGAGGATATATCACCCTCTCCCTTGGGCTTCCATACCTAATTTAAGCGTTGTAAAATATTCTGTTTCTTATTCTTGGGTTCTGGATTGCTATATATGGCTCAATGCACCTTGTATTCCTTGGAAGTCAATAATCTGTGATAATCATTGTACTCCTTAATTACTTTCAGTAATACTGTAATGACTTGTACATGGTTTGCTGTATATATTTGTGATTTCTAGCAACTCCTTGAGTTGGATGAAATTTCATATTTCCAGTTAAAATGAAATCTTTTCTTACCTACCAAAAGAAGAAGAAAACTATATTCTTCACCATCTCTATTATTTTATTTGGTTATTTACTACTAAGTAATTCTTTTTCAAAGAAGCATGTGCTGAGTTTTAATTATTTATTATTTATTTATTTAACCATCTGATTTTATTACCCAACAATCAATGCATTTAGGTGTTAGGTCACCAGGGTTATGACGGTGCCGCTGCAGATGTCTGGTCATGTGGAGTCATCCTCTATGTTTTAATGGCGGGATATCTCCCATTTGATGAGACGGACCTTCCAACCTTGTACAAAAAGGTTAGCTGTTGTTATTCTTTAGTTGAAGAATCTACGTCTATAACATATTTTTATATATCAGATATTTGCAGAATTCCTTCTGTTTGCCCTTCTTTGTCACATGTCCTTTCTAATGCACTATTAGATTTCACTCTTAAAAGCGAGGACTATCATAATTCTTGTTCCTTTCTTCCAATGACGTCAGACACCTTGTTTCTAAGTTATGCGTTACTCCTAGCTCCTTGCTTCACCCAAACTCGTGGACTGGGAAGAGCACTTTCCACATTGATTCCTTTTCTAGGAATAAACACAACTAAATGACACAATTTGCAAAAAATGCGCAAAAGTATCTGTGAGATGCTTTTGTTTTGAGTACACTTGGAATTGGATCGGATTCAAGAACCTCTCTTCCTGGCCTCAAAGGGGCTGGTCTCACTTTATTTCTGTCTGTCCCCAAAATACCTTTTATGTTTTCTGGAGGTTTATGACTTGGGCGTTTTGTAACTATGGTCCGTGTTAATGTCGTGCGAATGGGTATGGGCTGCTATAATGGCTTGTTTCATCTTTTTTGTGGTTTACAAACTAAGAGGAGCCTTTTTCATGTTTTACCAGCTATGTCATGCGAGTTGTTCTGTAAGCTGTGTCAATATGTGTGGGCTATCTAATTGTTCTTTTGACTGATGTGTAGGTCAGTGCCGCACAATTTTCGTGCCCATTTTGGTTTTCTCCTGGTGCAAAATCCTTGATACATAAGATACTTGATCCCAAACCTGAAACTGTGAGTATAAGATCATTGCTTATTAGTATATGCAAATCCTCGATTCAATATAACTGTGTGTGTGTGTGTGAGTGTGCACACGCTCTCATATGCATTACATTGTTCTGAAAGTACATTATGTGCCAATTGCTTCTTTAATTCTTGAACTTTTATATACTTGAGGATAGATGATGATGAGATGGAACATCATGCAAGAGATTTTTCAGTTGACAATTGTTTAGCCCATAGAATTATCAACAATGATGAAAACTCAATTTCATATATGTTTTCCATGTTCATTGATGACCAGAATGCTGCAAGAACGTTGAAATAATGATATTCCACAAATCCATATTCTTGTGTACCTTGAATTTAATTTCATAATTCGAAACTTCAAAAATAAATAAATAAGGCAAAGCAATTAAAAGGACAACGAAGTTTTAGCAAATAAGGGTTAATAGTTCGATCTGTAGGCTCTATAGCATTGTGGTACATGAATAATTGTTTTGCAGTGTAAATATCGATATAGCCCTGAAATGGAAGTCTTGGACAAATTTAGGCATTTTTTCTATTCTCTCTTTTAAAGGGACCTCTTTGTTTAAATATTTACATAAGAATTCAGAATAGTAAAATATTATTTACAATCACTAGAAGATATACACAGAAAGAATAGGAAAAAAATGCAAAATTACTGATCAACATTCCTACATCATGGACTGAGGTTGGGAGTTCGAATCCCTTGTGTGCATCCCAGAGAGTTTCTCTGTAATTGCCTGGTGCTTGACTATGGGGTGCTCTGAGAGGGCTAACACCATCATCATTGCGCGGGGGGGGGGTGTGGGTTGGGGTCAATGTTCTCCTTTGATTTGCATTCAAATATAAAAGTGAAAATTTGAACAGCTGCAACCTTTAACTTAAAGAATCACCAAGACTTGCATTGATGTGTTTTCAAGAAAATACACATGATTGTGCTTGATGCAATCAAAAACTAATATGATACAGGAGCATCCCATTTTATAGAAGAAAAAAGGGGGCTGGAGTTGAGCTGAGTTGGAAAACCTTCCTTGGAGATCCATGCAGTATGTGGAAGGCCTAATATATATATATATATAAGGGCTAGCCCAATCATGATTGACGAGGCTCTCGCCATTGCCGGGTTTGGGTAGGATGAGATATATATAGTCTTATCTCCACATGAGAGACTGTGTCCTTGTTTCAAACTTGTGACCTCCAGGTCACAATACAACAACCTTACCATTTCACCAAGCCCAACTCTCCCTTCCCACTGCTTGCCCCCTCCCTCCACCACCACTGTGGCTGCAGCTTCTCTCTCTCTCTCTCTCTCGGCCCCTCTCTCGCCACTGTCAGCGGTCATCACTCTTTCTCCTCACATCTTGCCTTGTCCCTCCACGATTAGAGCGGTTGCCGCTCCTCACTATATTTCCACCACAGCCCTTCTCTGTCAACCAATTGTGTTTTAAGACATGAAGGTAATGTCTGCTAAGCAGGGCCGAACCCTTTTAGCAACAGATCAAGGCATCACTTAAAAGCACCCTGATAAGGAAAGCAAATGTATAAAAAAAAAATCCGTATTTACTGAATAGTGAATAAGAATGTAAATGGGTGATTGATATCCTCTTGTGATTTGCAATGGAAGGCCCAACCCCATTAACAATCTTAATATTGATGATCCACCTTGGTATTTTTTGTTGGTGGTGTCAATGAAGAAATTCAAAAGAAACTGTGAGTGGGAAATGGCTGTTGCTAGAGAGAGATTCCATCTTTGAATCGTTGACATCTTAATGCCCACATAGTTTTCAATTTTTACACGTGTATGTGTAATCAATTTATATATGCATAGATAATCACTCAATCTACACGGAGTTATTGAGAAGAGAGAAGTAAAAAAAAAAGAGGGAATTTGTACATGGGCATTTTTGGGATTTAAGAATTGTTCTTTATTGGTTGATGGCAGGGGAGGTGATAGTTATTTCAAACAAACCTCAGATGAGGTTGACTGAATTTTTTTTACAACTTTAAACCGATAGTAATTATGCCAAACCTCAGGGGGGTCAAGGTAACTTATCCATATTTTTTTTATCCTAGCTTGTTTCCCCAAAAAATCCATTGTTCTAAATCTATAACAAAATACATATATACACACACACTAATTTGTGCTGCTTGATAATCAATATTATGAAACAAGTTAAATTGTGCTCTAGGTCCAAAGAGAATGCCAGTGTGTATGAGGTTCTGGTCTTAAAACAAGGTTTGTGCCCTGCAAAAAGCATTATGTTTTTGTTTGAGAATTAATATATATATATATATATATATATATATATATTATGACACTGCAAAAATTTAGATGCGTTAGTAGTTTCTTCTCTCCCTTTCAGTAATTCGTTTTTGAGTTCATGCAGCGTATTCGGATTGAAGGTATAAAAAATGATCCATGGTTCCAGAAGAACTACATGGTTGTCAGACTTGGAGAAGATGAAGAAGTGAATTTGGATGATGTTCGTGCAGTTTTTGATGACATCGAGGTTGATCCTTGTTTCTTTTGTGCTGAGTGCAAATATCTTCTTCCTCAACTGAGAAAGATTTTTCTTTTTCCTAATAAAATAATATAATAGCAGTTTGGTTACTTCAGGAATTATAATCTGATGCTTCTCAATGTTTTTGCCTCTTACATAAACCTTTGCATTGCATTGCCTCTCGAGTTTTTTTTTTTTTTTTTTTTTTTTTTTTTTCAATGTATCTGGAGTTGACATCTGGTTGTTTTTTTTCTATTTTGCAGGACCAGTTTGTAACTGAACAATCCGAAAACAAGGAAAGTGGCCCTCTGATAATGAATGCATTTGAGATGATCACCCTCTCTCAAGGCTTGAACCTCTCAGCCTTGTTTGACAGAGGTCAGGTACAACTACATATTTCCAATTTGCTGCCAGATATGTACTGAATTGAACTTCAATCATATTCTATATGAGTTTTTATAATTCTTTTCTTAGTAGTGTCACTGTGATATACTTCAAATTTTCTGAAATTGGTAGCCTTAATCTTCTAGCCATTCCCCACCTTTTCAAATTTCCAAGTACTGAGGATTTCTACCTCATTAAGCTGGAAGTGGATTGTGCAAGTAAATCATGGCCACTTTTATTGTTAAGGATTGTATGTAACGAATATTGACTCATCAATTATTCTTCTAAGAGAGTGAATTTCATTTCCCATCCATGTTTCACATATTAAATGTGACTTCTTTCTATTTGGTAAGTGAGACAATTGACTATATTTATCTATGGCAGGATTATGTAAAGCGGCAAACCCGTTTTGTTTCACGCCAGCCAGCTAAAATTATAATTTCTACTATTGAAGCTGTTGCAGAATCAATGTCTCTCAAGGTCCACACACGTAACTACAAGGTAAACTGCTTGATAAATTGATCTTTTACCCTAATGGTTCACCTTGTATTTTTTTGCTCTTGTGATGATACCGTCATTCGTTGCAACCATCATTGCCATGTAATGTTAAAGAGTGTCCTATTGTGAGTTCCCACGATCTTTGCAATAAACTTGTAGTTTCATTGATTTTTCAATCTAACAGTGCTCTTCAATAAGCTTTACGCATTTCTTTTCCTGAATGAGGAATAACCTTTTCACACTCCTTATGCTATAAATCTGTTTCTAGTGCCCAAAACCTTAAAACAGCCAAATGGGCACTGTCCAGAGATTCCAGCAACCTTCCTACGGAGATTTGAGCAACCTCTCGCTTCAATGAAAAATCCCAACAGTTCCCTTCTTCGGTCATTCGACACTAACCTCTAGTTATTGTCACCATCCAAGAACCACTCCAAAATTGTCTTTTGCTACCTAATTAAAGTTCCAAAATCCTACCCCTTTCTGACACCCACACCCTCACAATCCCTAAAACCCAATGTCTTAACTACATGATACAGCCAATAACTTTCAGCCTTGAAAACCTGCTCCGATGTTGTTCTATCTTACACTTGGTTTCATCATTGTAGGAGAGTACTTCATGTTTGCCCAACATCATGGTCATTGTTGACCCACTACTCAGTTATAGTCCTAAGCAGCACGGTTTCTTCCATAAAGCTGCATCAGTTTTGAACTCATGTCAAACAACAATACTATTCCAACACATTTCGAACACATAGTTGGCATAACCTATATATATATATATATATATATATATATTCTGATTTACTCAGTTACCTAATGACATCATATTCCTTTTAAGAAATTTACTATCATGATAAAAGATTAAATGTTCTTTTTAATTGCAAAATTTAACAAACATGGGGCCAGTTTCATTAGTATGTCAGTAGTTCTGTCCTTTATGTGTCCATGTCCCGACTCCTGTTTTTTAGATTGTTATGCTGGTGTCTCCATGTTGTGTCGAGTTCATATTAGGTTCTTGTTTATGTAATATAGCACAGGTCATAAATGAAGTCTTTTAGGGATTGCATAAAAATAATAGTAATAGGCAGGCAGGGACCTTTATTGGACAGTTTCCAGGTTATGCTGAGATATTCAATAATGTTCTGGGCTAATTTTATATCTCATTGCTTGATTTGTGTGAATTACTACAGAAGTTGTATGCTTGAAAGCTCTGAAAGTAACTTGTAAGACTTGGCAGTTCTCCTGCAACAATTTCATCCAATTTAGTATATCTGTAACTCCCAAAAGTTTATTATAATTTGACTATAATTGTTTTGATTCAAATAAACCACTCAGTGAGTTGTATGCTTGAAAGCCCTAAAAGAAATTTGCAAATGTTGCAGTATACAGTCTCAATTTCTTCCATTTTACTTTGTTTCATAATGTATCTGGACCTCCCAAAAGATAATAATAACCAATGCTATTACTTTGATTTGTCAAACCACTCAGCAAAATGTATGCTTAACAGCTCTAAAAGGAAGTTGTAAAATATTGCAGTTTTCTTGAAACAAATTTGCCAAATGAGAACAAGAAAAAGAAATAAGAGAAGTACAAATATCAAAATGTTTATGTTGAATCTTTTAGTTCAAAATTGAGTGTATGTGATGATTGCTTAGGTGGTTTTAAATTTATAAGGAAAATTAAGGTCAAGACCATCTAGAGAATCAAACAAAAATTCCTCCACATTTAGGTCAAGAGCGTCTAGTGAATCACACAAAGGTGATGAACTATGCTGAGAATGCTTCAACTTTGAATCTCATATCGTCTTGGCTAGTTCTGTTATGTTATGATTTCAATACTATCAGATGTGTTGTTAACTGAAGTGCCAAGTTTAAGATAACCTTGAAAAAAAAGGAAAAAAACTGAAGTGCCAAGTTTCAGATAACCTTGTTTTTTAAATCTCAATATGCTTTAATTACTATCAACAATCATTTCTTGCAGACAAGACTTGAAGGAGTCTCTGCCTATAGGACTGGTCAACTTGCTGTCGTGTTGGAGGTAACTCTGAACTTTATTTTTGATTAATGCTTCTTTGATTCTACATAAAGAGCCTCCAATTGGTGGTGCTATTTCCAAGAGATCGTTTTATGGTATTTAGGTTTTTGAAGTTGCCCCATCGCTTTTCATGGTGGACGTACGAAAGGCTGCTGGGGATACTCTTGAATATCACAAGGTTAGCTTGTACCAGTTTTGGAATTGCATTTGGCTTCACAATTTCTTGTTGAATGAAACCTATGGTTACCTGCATACATTTGCACACACACATACAACTTAGTCAGTAGACTTCATAAAGTTCAACGAGCACATTTTAGCTCAATTAGTCTTGCTCTGATGGCTGGCTTGGTAGCATGGTTTATCTTTTACTATAGTGCCCATTAGTATTCTGTCTTCTATCAACCACATCACATTTTTTTCACAAGTCATAACCATAACCCATTCATTTTTTATCTCGTCCTTGGAGAGCCTTAATATGAGGCTATCGTTATTTCTTGCTACTTTTGGCGTTATCACCTCCTTTTCCTGACTGTCCATCTAATCTTCACCACCTTATAAAATTTTCCCTCGAACTAGATATACATGCATTGAACAAGGGTAACTCCATTCATGGATCCCTCTGCAAGGTTTAATGACTCCATAAATTTTGGTACTCCATTCATGGATCCGTCTGCAAGGTTTAATGACTCCATAAATTTTGATAAGGCTAGAATGTGTAGTGGTGTCTGCTAATGGTTTTAAGTCATAAGAAGTCAGCATTAATAATTTTTTTTACATTCAGATAATTTCATCAGACACATCTGACTGATGCTGCTTTGATAAAAATACTAATATTCTCCTGTATCTTTTGCTGCAGTTCTACAAGAACTTCTGTGCTAAACTCGAGCATATCATATGGAAACCAACTGATCCTGCTCTGCTTAAGTCAATGACTTGCTGATCCAGTTCTATGGGTGTGAAGCATATCAGTAAGCAGACCAACACAGGAAAGCTATTCGTTGGTCATGGAAGCATACTTGTCTTGGGCATCAATAGGCAAGAAATATTACATGGTTTGTAAGTTGCAGTCCCCTTTTTAGCTTTTAATCACTGCGGCATTATATTATAAAACCGATTTCATTAGGTTTAGTGGTTTCTTCCAACCCTCTAGGTTGACCTATAATCCTTGTATTTAGAGCCTAGAGGTTGTATGCACAGAAAATCATACTTGTCTCAGGTTGTATACAGAGTACGTATCATAAATGCCTATAATTTATACATTTTATTTAGTGTTGTGAAATTTCTATGGACAACCATGCTGGTGGCTCACAATCCTTTCTTGATATGATTATAACCGTGTAATTCAAATTTGTTTCACGTGGTATTATTACCCTTCCTGATTCTAATTTGATATACTTTACATACACAAGACAATTATGAGGGGGGAGGGGGGGGGGGGGGGGGGGGGGTGTGGGGGGGTGTTGGGGGTTGTTGGTGAAGAAGAGAAGGAAAACAAGGAAGAAAAGGTACGTAACTTGGTTGCCTATTTTTCTTGGTCTTCATTGTGCTCTTCGGCCTTTGTTCAGTGTGTTCTTATGTGGAATTTGGCATGGAATTAAATAATGGACATTGTGACCAACATACAATCCCCCAAAAAAAACACACACACACACAGGTGCATGCACATGTACTGAGGTCAAGAAATACGCCTCTTGATTCTTGAATATGGACCTAAATTTTTTGAATTTAATGAAATGTCGAGGTAATTGCCGATGTTGAACGCCTCTATCCTTTTAGTTTCAAATAAGTCGTTCAGAATGTTCAATGCATTTTTCTGTATCGCCTTTGCACTTCTCACTTGTGCTGAAAGGTCTAACAGCAACCTTATTTCTTGCCTAGGCTGGAAATTTTCTCTCTAAATAATTAAAGTACATGTTATATACATAGTACACACACAGAGTGTGTGTGTGTGGACCATATCCCATGTGGGGGTGATCACTGATCAGCACCCTCCGTGTTCCATTACATAGAAGATTCTGAGATTAGGTGTGAAAACAGTAGTTTCAAGGTTGAAAGTACTTATCTCCACATCTGCATTTCCAAGAGAGAAGATAGTAGTTCTCATCTTGTATAGCTGCTTGTTTCCTGGAATTATATTTGGCGTGGGGATGAGTAACTAAAGCAGCTATGCAAGGTCTGCAACTAAGGCACCTTTTCATACACTGAGGGGGCCTTGAACCCAACACACCTTTCATTTGCCTCGTACCCTCAATCTCCCCTAAAACTAGTAACCCAACTGCCACAAAAGAAAGAAGAAGAATATGAGACGACAGTCATGATCTAGCTATAGAAATTTTAAACCCAAAAATGGAAAACAAGGAGTTATTAAATTGAATAAAAGCAAAACACTAAATTTAGAAGAGAGAACACACTAGTGCTTAGAGTGTTATGAATGGAATTGGGTTTTGATTCTTTTATTTACCTGACTTGGAATGAAGGAATGTGAGAGAAAAGAAGATCATCAGAATGAATGCAATGCTTGGGTTTTTTGGGTAATTTCTTGAGGAAGCCATCAGTGTATATGTTTCTGACTAGAAATAAAGAAGAACAAGTAGTTCAAAGTATTTGGGGGACATTTCTTTTTTTTTTTTTTTTTTTTCTGTTGTGGAGGGGATGGGAAGGTACTGTAATACTATAGTTGTGTTCTTTGTAAAACGATATATATATTGTATTGGCGGGGTTACTTGTCTAGTTGTCTGCCAATGTAATGCATCTGAGTTTGAGGGTCCCTATTGGAGAACTTGTTTCCAAGTCTCCTCAGAGAACTGTTACTCTCACTTCAGGCTTTCAGAAACTGTGTGAAATGACTCGACCAATAGTCTGAATTTGCAGGTTTTCAAATTATTGATGTACCATCCCTCCTCCTTTCTTATCAGGATACACACACACTGATATATATATATATATATATATATGTTCCCGATATAATGATAATTTGGATGTATAGCTTTACAAAGTGTCATATTGGAGATGTAACTAAATTAAAGTACAGAAGGTGAAAAAAAAAAAAAAAAAAAAAAAAAAAAAAAAAAAAAATTTAAGTATAGAAGAATTAACCTATATATCTGCGAGTTAGTAGATTGGTATTGGATAGGCATTTAAAGAATGATGTTATTTTTTACAAATCTAAATTGATTTCGCAGTGAGGGTACTTTAGAAGTTAATGAAACATAATTTTGTATTGCAAGTGGTAGGTGGGAAAACAAATTAAGGAGGAAAGAGAGAGAGAGAGAGAGAGAGAGAGAGAGAGAGACTAATGGTATATTTTAATTTTTTGATAATTGACTTGTGGGGGCGGAGGAAGACAGATTACAAAAGGAGATGGTTTGCTTAGATATTAGTTTAAGACAAATGATGAAGATCTGGGTCACAGTGACCTATTTTTCCAATACATTGAATCAATTTAGTGTCGGCAACAACCTTTAGTTGATTATCATTCAAACTCAGCTCCATTTACCAACCTCCCCTTTTGTGGTCACAACAAGATCTGAATACAGCACCCATATCAAATATTGAGGAAATGTTCTGCCATCATCAAACACGGTCCAAACAGTGCCTGCCTTCCTGCTTAATGACTTCAATGCTTGATTAGATATGCTGCAGTTGCACAATCAAGCATTACCATGTGAAACTTTGGGAATTGGGATGTACATTAAAGGAAACTCAATTCTCTAAAATTCAGAAAAGAAACTTTAGCAGTAACAGAAGATTTATTTATTTATTTTTTTCCTGAACAAAAATCTCCAAAAATTTATCAAAAAATTGTTGGATACATCCGACTATATGAATGGGGAATAATATCGTTTCCCCCACTTAAATGTAATCAGATGTGTTAAGACTCCCAGGCTACTTGCTATTTTCCTTCTTCAAACAAATACCGCATTTCCTTAAAATAAAAAAACGAAACCAACCCAAATAACTAACAATGAATTCTCTCTATCATCTTCCAACAAACTGACATTGTGAGCAGCTCCCATCAATAGTTCTCTTAGCCCCTCGCAGCTGACTACTGATTACAATGCTCCCATCAATGAATTTTCTCTCTTCTGTAACCATGCAAAACTAAAGTTTGGGAAAATCGAATTTGCATTGCCAATTGCCATACATTGGAGTATTGGACGTTCTAAATTGAAAACTCAACTCCATTCAGTGCTCAGAAATGACTGGAAGGGCATTGATATCAAACATTATTCATTGCCGCCAACAAAGTAACAACACAAGTAGCGAATTCCCATTTTATTACATAGAAAGTGGTTGCATAGAACAATATACAAGAGCAGGAGACATATGAAGAAATAGGATTTGGTGATCCCATAAAAAACTAGGACTTGGTAAGAAAAAAACAAACAACCGTGAGGTTGTCATAGCAACTACATGAACAAGCTGCCATGGCCGAAGTCCACGAGTCAGAGTCACCCACACTTGCAACTTCCCGATGCAACCACAGGGAGAGGACCAAAATAAGATAAAACAAGGACACACACTTAAAAAGACCATTAAAGCTAAACACAAACTAAACGGCAAGGAAGACTGAAAAAGCACCAAACGAAGCCAGCTAAAATACCAGGCACTAGAACACCCAGCAATGCGAACCCGAACCATGACATGACAAGAAGTGGAATACCCACCAGTGGAAAACCTAAAACCAGGACAGGGTAACTGTATTATCAGGGAACCATGGCTGTGGAAGAGGCAGCCTCCCGTCTATGAGAGAGACTAAACAGGTCTAACAGGCTCTCTGTAAATGAGGAAACCTGCAAAAAGGGATGAAAAGTGTATCTACCAAAGTCCCCTGGAAAACAACCAAGCTGCTGAGCTATAAGGAGACCCACTGCTAATGGGATAGAAAACTACCAAGTATGCTGATTCTGCTATCCGCGTTCGCAGACTGTACGAGCCATATGGAGCTATGCTTCTGCTACCTATAGAGTCTTCGAATTATCTATTCTAATTTAACACCTTTACATCTGCCTGCTTAATTTACCATATATAGGCGTTCGGTTTCCTGCCCTGATCTAGGAAAGTATATCGCATCTCCACAAGTTGTCTACAAGCCGCTCAACTGAGCTGCTGCTGATTGAATTGCAGTGCTGGAGATTCAAACCCACCAGGGTCCTTCCCAATTTTTTCAGGGAAGGCAAACTCTTGTTGGATACCTTAGAGCAACCAGACAGAGAAAGGATATGCAAATTTAATTGCTCCCCACGAGATAGAGCACCAACGCCAGAATCAGTGATCGAACAGTTTGACACATCAAGATCATCTAGTAAAAGGCAATTTTCTGCAACAGCCACTAAGCTTGCATCGGTGATCTTCCTACAACCATCAAGATTAAGCAATTCAAGGGTTCCCCCATGTAGTCTAACCATGGCTAAAACCACTTCGTCTGTCAAATTCAAGCACCCACTAAGATTCACTTTAACAAGCCCTGCCTCACAGCTCTCCAGAAGTGGGAGAAGCCCTGCATCAGTTATTCCATAAAGACCACTCAGGTCGATGTGATGCAGCTGAGGACACAATTTCCCCACCATAGCCAAGCTAGCACTGCCAAACCCCGGGCAGCTTCGGATGGACAAAGATCGGAGAGATTCGCAAGGAGAGAGTGTAGGTGTTTCCAGAGCTAGATCCTTAATTCCCATGCATTTCACCAGGGAAAGAGACTTCAACTTCGATCCACAGTTTGAGAGTGCACCCAGAATACCTGACTGCGTGATTCTGTTGCACTCCTCCAATTGTAGGCTCTCAAGAGATCCAGCAGCCTTGGCAAAAGCTACCAGACCATAGTCAGATACAAAACAACACTTACGAAGGCACATCTGTTTCAAGTTCGGGCACCCCTTCCCTATGGCTTCAAGACTCACATCAGTTGTTCCTCGGCAGGAAGTAATTGTCAAAGATGTAAGTGTCTGCAGACCCTGAGCATTACCCATGACCCAAAAGCCCTTCTCACTCACATTTTGAAGCCCATTGAGGACAATATTAGTAATGGCTTTGCCACAGTGCCCAATTACAGCAAGAGAGAAGTCTGTGATGTTCAAGGCCTGAAGCTTTACCTTTGTCAAGACAGAAGAAACCGATGACAAGACCCTAGCAACCCCCTGATCTCCAACAAGAGGGCAGTCTTTAATAGTTATGGCCTGTAACTTGGGACAGCACCTTCCAATAGTTTGCAAGCTCTCATTCCCAATGTTTGCACAAGATTCAATCGTTAAAGCAGTCAAATTGGGACAACTCACTGCAATTGCCATCAAGCCCTTGTTGGAGATTGAAGGACACTGGCAGAGGTCAAGTTTCTCTAGCAAGTGGCATTCTTTGGCTATCTCTGCAAGACCCTCATCGCCAATAGAAGGAACGTTCCACAAAGAAAGAACCCTTAAAGAAGGGCAACCGTGGGCAATTGCTGAGAGACCAAGGTTGGTAACTCCACGGATAGAGTTGCTTCCCCTGACTGAAAGCTTGCCAAGCCCTCCACGGCTGGCCGTTCCAACTGCAATAGCAGCAAGTCTAATATCAGTCGCTTTCTTCCCTTCTAAGCACCTTGTAAGGTACCCATCACTTTGAAGTTCCTTATCTTCATCGCCACAGATCATTTCAACGTCATTCGAAGACTGATCTACATTGTTTTCACATGTTCCTCCCTGAACATACTCGCTCCTGCAAATTTCAGAATTGCGCACGCTACTTAGCAGCATAAGCCAACGCTTGGATACACAAGCACTGGCACTCCTCTCTTTACCTCCAGGCAGGCGTCTGAAGATCTCAAAAAGGCATTCATCGGGAAGAACTTCAATGGATGGTCTCTTTTCCTCCTCAAATCTGTTTTCTCTGAAGACGAATGGTCCGCTGATGCGTGACCTCTTGCGTGGAGGGCAATAGACATCGACATGGGAACCAAGAGATAGCAAGAGGCTCGAATCCTTGGAATAAATGGACCCTCCAGAATAAATTTCATCATCCCCTGAGAACACAATAACAAGAACCAATATCAGCTAAGTTTTTATATAGCTAGATGTGGTAAACAATAAATTTTCTAGGTGATGAAATTACCAAAACAATTCCTTCCCATGGCTAATTATAACTTATTTATCAGCTGTATATACAAATCTGCTAGTTGTGGTAAACAATAAATTCTCTATGTGATGAAATTTACCGAAACAATTCCCTCCCATAGCTACTTATAACTTATTTATTAATTTTCAGGATTGATTCTTCACCTAACTAAAGAAAGTTCATAGTTTCTGTTCAGCTAGCTGAGATGGAGTGGGAAATAAAATTCCCCAAAAACTTTTTTACTTTTGTTGGTTCACCATGTCACATCTAGAATCCTTTCCAAAATATTTTCAGAAAAACTATTAACAGTCCTAGATTATTATTATTATTATTATCATTATAATTTATTTCGTTTTAAACTTCAATCACACGTAGAACTCAAAAATTGGCTATATAAACCTCAATCAACAGTTGTTCACAGATCTACAAATCAATACTATATGATAAGCAGAAGAATCAAACAAGTAAATTCACCTAAAAAAGACTTATATTTAAGCTCAACCCACAAACAAAAACTGAATTCCCTCAGAAGAATTGGAAACTTACCACTGTAATTGATGAGCGCAGGCATGGTTGTTTCTCAAGAAAAAAACCCCGATCGGCTGCAAAAACGATCAGATCGATCACCAAAAACGACACAAAGCAGAGCAGGTATATGTATTTGTATATTTTAGCTTGGATTTCTGATTGCATTACAGGTATGAAGATTCAAGATGATCTGAAACCCTAACGAGTAGGGAAAAAAAAGAGAGGTGGAGGAGAAGGAATGATTGTTGTTGTTTATGTTTGCCACACAACAGTCGATATATATACATATATAAAAATACATACATACATATATGCAATATATAAATTATTTGGTGAGGTGTCAGTCTTCATTCAGATACATTAAAGGCCACATCCCTCTTACACCGTTCAATGAATCTTCCCGAAAACCGGATTTCCCGGTAATTCCTGAGGACTTGCCACTTGTACCAAAACCAGAAACCGGAAACTGGAAACCACCAATGCTATCTTCTTACTGGAACCGGGTACTCCCAGTTTTGTTTTTTGTTTTTTTGTGTTTTTTTACTTCTTCATTTTGAAATATTTGTGTTTTCTATTTCTCTTGTTTTGATAAGTAAGTAATTCTATTTTTCTTGTTGTTAAGGTGAATAATTATAAATCATAAATGCATTCTATTTTTTTTTTTATTTGATAAATGTATTTTTCTTCTCTTTTTTCTTAAATTAAATTATTTAACTGGGTGAAACTTGATTCACATAATATTAATTAAGGGAATTATAATTAAGGATCATAATATCATTTTGAGTGCATAAGTGGGATGTATTTATCACTTCTCTTATATTAGTTATTTTATTAAAAAATATAGTGAATTGTGATTTGGAGCCTTAGCTCTTTTTTAAAGTAAAGTGTGAATGTCACACAATTTTTTTTTTTATAAATTTTTTTGTCTTAAATTCATATGAATGGGAGTAAGCCATCTGTATAAAATAATTAATAAAAATGAAAATGACATACAAAAAAGGAAAATGATATTTTTTCATAATTTATTTTTAAAATTTATAATCTAAATTCATATGCCTAGATAGTGGTTAAATGTAAACAAATATATAATTTTTCGTATGAATGTAGTATATAAAGGAATATTTTTACATTTATATACTCACTTTCACGAGCAATTTATTTATAAGTCAATATAAAAGATCGAAATTCACTTCTTGCATTTTCTAAAAATGGCAAATTATCTTTTCAAAAAAATCAAATATATTATTATTTTATATATATATATATATATATATATATATATATGTAAATCATCCGGTCTCTTATATTTTTATTCATGTCAATGCAACTAAATTGTAATAGTTGAGTGAATACATTGTTCCTTTGGAAAAAGTCATAATTGCTTTGTTGCAGATATACAAACAAACCCCCACCTCCCCCCAACCCCCACCCACAAATACACGCACACTATATTAGATTGTTAATAGGAATTAGGGCTTTGTATATTTGGATGTAAGATAATTTTATTTTTTATTTTTTAGTGTTTGATTGTCGTAAAATATTTATGAGAATAAAAATATTAAAATTTAATAAAAATAATTTAATTATTAATTTTTAAGTTATTTTATATGTTTTGTTCGATGGACTTGTCTTTAATCTCGATTTAAATCTTTATCAAATATCAAAAAATTAAAAAATATATATATATATTTTAACTGAAAAAGAAAAATATTTTTTGAATACTAATAATAAATAATAACAATTTCAACCATAATTATTTTGATTTGATGATAAAGTTCAATTATTTGAATTCCTTTGGAACTGTTTTTTAAGAAAATTTTGAAACTTTCTTGCCTATGTAGATGAGAAATATTATTAATTACATATGTATTTTAAGAGGCAGAATACTACCATTATCAACTAAAAAGAAATTATATAAAGTATTATTAATTTTGAATTATGTTAGAAGTGGCGTCAAAGTGACTCTGGTCCATTATGAAGCTAGTCAATAAAATTTATTTTAGCAAAAAATTTGAAAAAAAAAAAAAAAAATTCCCAAAATTGATGTTGACAAAATCAAAACCAAGATGAGTACATGCATTAGAACCCCCTCCAGATTACATCCAGAACAGTTTTTATTCAATAAACTTAAAAAAAAATGTTGATCATTGACTTGTTCACAGCAGAAATATTATTAATTACATATATATTTTAAGAGGCCGAATACTACCATTATCAACTAAAAAGAAATTATATAAAGTATTATTAATTTTGAATTATGTTAGAAGTGGCGTCAAAGTGACTCTGGTCCATTATGAAGCTAGTCAATAAAATTTATTTTAGCAAAAAATTTGAAAAAAAAAAAAAAAAAATTCCCAAAATTGATGTTGACAAAATCAAAACCAAGATGAGTACATGCATTAGAACCCCCTCCAGATTACATCCGGAACAGTTTTTATTCAATAAACTTAAAAAAAATGTTGATCATTGACTTGTTCACCAGCAGCGGTCAATATGTGTTATGCCGCACACGCGCAGAGATTGACTTGAACAGTAGAAAGCTATGGAAAATGGGATGAGAAAAGGATGGATGAGTGGGACCCATGTCAGATGGGGTGCATACATGACCTTTTTGGTTCCTTTCTCTTAGACAAGATGGAAATTAATGTGGTGTGCAATGAACTTTGATTTGTGCAGGTCGAAGGGAATAAGGGTTAGACAAGTCCATTAATGTATGCCCAAAAGTTTGAAATCAGAGCTAGGGTTAAAGTCTATCTATGCATGCAATGGATCTGAAGCTTCTTCACACAAATCCAATTTTGCCCCCATTTAACTACTACTACTTTCTTTTCTTTTCTCAATATTGAAAATTCATTTTTTTTTTCTACAGTTGACAATTGCCTAATAAATGAAACACCAATTATTATACTAATTTTTTATATTTTATGTGATAGACATTGATTACTTGATTTTATTGCACAATAAATACAATTTTTCTTTTTTAAAAAAAATTAATTCAATTTTTGGGGAAAAAAAGAAGAAGTTAATTGACTATGAGTAGCTAGCCAGAAAATAAAATTTTTATAGTTTTGAGATTTCATTCATATCTTATTCTTTTAGTTTAAAAATCAAGATTTATTTATTTATTTTTTCTTTTCTTTTAAAGGACATGTTTATGGCATATATAACCTAACTTTTATAGTAATTTCAATTTTTCTTTTTCTTTTTAAATAATAAATAATAGTAATAACAATCACCAAATACACATGCCTATCCCAATCATGGATAAATAATACTGATTGTATCGCAATCATTAGTAAACATATCATCATATTGTCTAAATTCATAATAAGTAAGATGATCGAGACTACAAAGTGATATATAATAGTAATAATAATTGTTTTTTGTTCCATTTAATTTGTTTTAACCATGTAGTAATTTAATGGTCTTGTTTAAAATTATAATATAAATATTTTATTTTTCAAATTGTTAATAATAATAAATCTTCATCCCTAGTTGATCATGGTTGACAGTTGACACAATTAAAGTTATTTCCACATTCAGAAGCTACAGCCAAAGCACATCTATCAAAAAGACAGCTACATTTGTTCAGCCAATTGTATTCACTTGGGATTTTTTTTTTTCTTCATGATAAATGGAATTCATTCATAAAAACATCCTCACTCTCTCTCTCTCTCTCTCTCTCTCACATCATGCAACTTGATATGTAGATCCAACTCATACAAAACTGTATGTGCCCTTGAATCTGAACACTCTATAATTGCTTTATGTAACCATTTCCATGTATGTACTTATTATTTCTACAATTAAATGCTTTAATTTAACATCCACTTGAACTATATATTATATTATAAACTGTTTAAATTCAATACAAATACTCTATAATTGCTTTATGTAACCATTTCCATGTATGTACTTATTATTTCTACAATTAAATGCTTTAATTTAACATCCACTTGAACTATATATTATATTATAAACTGTTTAAATTCAATACAAATTTAATCATTTCCAAGTGACAATTAAATTAACCCACCCACAATATGTCCTTTATTGAGCCTATGGACGTCACTCTCCATTCAGCTGAACTTGTGATCATAAGTAGTGACAACCAACTCTTATAATTACTTTTAAAATCATAATGAAATATATGTGTGTGTGTTTATATATATGCCACTTGATTTCAGTGGAGCTTTGTTAACTACTGTATAACTTCCAACTTGCCTACTAATTAAGTGCATGCATGCATGGTGATCGTATCATCTGCAAACGAGTGCAGGAAATGCAGTAAGACCTAATTTAATATCCTTTAAGAAACTTACTGAAAAGGGAGAGAAAAAATAAAAAATAAAAAAAAAACACTTTAAATGCCAACAATTAATTACTTAGTACAATACTCACCTCATCTACTGGAGAAATTATTAAACCATCCTGATTTATTTGACCCTTAATGAACTAATTCAATGAAAATCCTCCGATCATGAAACTTTGTTAGTTATTAATAAAATCTTGTGGGGCTATTTTATCAATTCGAGAGTCTGTATTTAACTGGTCCACCAAGTGTTAATGGTCCAAGACCATCTAATAATTTCTCTATCTACTGACTCTCCAATCTAATCGCTTTAAATGCTAAAAGGAGGACTCTAGATCATGGTTCGCAGTAACAATCATGGTTGTGATCGCAGTGTAACGGACTCGGACAAAATCAGCATAAACTAATTGATATGAATTGCGTATCGGACTTGAAAAAGAATTACACATCGGTCGATGCGGCGAATCATGCTCTAAGTAAATAAGAATAATATATATATATATATATATATATATATATATATAGATTATAATTTGTGTACTCTATACTAATGCAAGTTTGTCGAGGGGATGAGTGGACTCTAGATCAAATACAGCTAGAAACTTGGGAACAAAGTAAATAATTAATTGAGGGTTTGGTTAACAGAATTGAACCAAAAAGCTCACAACAGAACTGCTCCACTTGTATGATGTATCAGCACCTATGTGTGTGTATACATATTATATATATATATATATATATATATATATATAGGCACAAACACAACTGTAACACACTTAAACCACTAATCAGTAGGCCTGTAGTGCACGTAAACATGATTAAATGTATTAAATACCAAAATTAATTAAATCAACTAGCTTACACTGACAAGAACTTAGCTCCAAGTGATGTTTCTTCTACTTTTTTAAATGGAAGGTTTAATGTTCAAGTCCAGTGCATGACTTATTAGTTAAAAAATAAAATAAAAAA